GTACGGGTACATTGTGGACATTATGCAAAGGAACTCAGTGAGTGTTATTCAGAATCAGTTGAATAGCTTACATGCATTCATGTTCTTTTTCCTTTTCTTTTCTATTTGTAATTGGCACATAAGTACGAACTAGACCTCGTCATCCACACTCCGTACCAGCTGGTGGCGGTAACGCACCGATTATTGATCATCCACCGCCGAGAAGAAGAAAAAGGTTAATGTACCAGAGCAGCATGCATGTGTGGTGATAGAGGTATGCCGTCCCAGAGGAGATAAAGATTGTGAACTTTTATAATCTGTGTAAAAAGCTCTCTGTAGAAATGCTCCACAAGGTATCAGGGAACAATGGAAAAAGGGAAATTTGGTGTGACAATTTTAATGCGTATAATTGACTACTACGCTGCAGCCACAGCCAAGGACAAGGGCAGGCTGCAGCGTGTCCTCCGCTCTGCAGAGAGGGTGATCGGCTGCAATCTGCCGTCCCTGCAGGACTTGTTCGCTTCCAGGTCTCTGAAGCGAGCTAAAAAGATCGCGGCCGACCCCTCTCACCCCGACAAAACCTGTTTGTGCCCCTTCCATCTGGCAGGAGGCTGAGATCCATCAGGACTACGACCTCCCGCCACACCAACAGTTTCTTCCCGTCAGCAGTCGGGCTCTGTTGACAGAGCAACAGAGCCCGGTCCCCCACTGACTGACTCTGGCGTCCCACTGGTCACTTTCTTTCTCACTGCACATGTCACTTTCACTTGTCACTTTCTGTTCGCTGGTGCACTTTATCTTAAAGTTAAAGTTGTTTAAAAAGTTTACTTTTATTTCTTTATTTTTAAACTAACCCAAAGCATTATATTATTTTATTTCTCATACACAGTTGTCTTGTCGTCCGTTGTCGTACTGTCTGCTTTTACGCACCAACCGCCAAGTCACATTCCTTGTTTGTCTGACATATGGCAATAAATGTCTCCTGATTCCTGATGCTATGCTATGTTTTGGCAACTGCCTTAGAAATGGTTCTCATACTGTTCAATATGATTTGGAGGGAAACAGCTGGAAAAGCAGTTGATTCTACCTTTTGGTAAACCTGGTGAAGCCGATGCTGGCAATTACAGACCTACAGCCCTGAAATCGCACTTGTGCAAGTGGATGGAAAAAATAATCCTGCTGTACGCGGAGAGAGGAGGTCATCATATCACGACTCAGACTCCGTCACACAGGTCTGAACTCAACTCAGTTCGTAATGGCAAAGCCGGGATCACATAAGTGTAATAAGTGGAGTGTGGAGGGAGTTGTGCCAGTGGAGCAGGGTGGGCCTCAGTGCTTTAGGGCACTGTTGCATTTCATAACAGAGACGGGACCAGAAATCTGCAAGTCTTATATCAGGAGGAATTACCATAGCTATATACAAATATACACAGACGGCGCTAAGGACCCTGAAACTGGAAGAACAGCAGCGGCAGCAGTAATACCAGAATTCCAGTATGAGTGTGGGAAAAGACTCAGTGATGACAGTGTTTACATGGGAGATGATGGCCATTTTTGCACCACAGTGGGTAGAGGACGCCAGGCCAGAGAGACTGGTAACAGCATCAGACTCATGTGCGGTGCTAACGAGTCTGAAGTTTTTCCAGTTTAATGTTCGAAAATCCTACAATCCCTATTCAGAACCCATCAAATGCGGGCGGCAGTTAGGTTTGTGTGGGTCCCTGCCCGTGTTGGAGTCGAGGGAAACAAGGAGGCGGATAAAGCAGCAAAAAGGGCGCTGAAGTGTGGGAGAAATATGGTCGATATAAAGATGAGTTAGGCAGAAGCTAAAGGGGTGATTAAGGGACAAATGAAAACGATATGGCAGAATGAATGGAATAAAGGGAGCAAAGGAAGATAACTGTTTAAAAATAAACCATTGGTTGGGAGTGTAGGAGCTGGTGGACGAAATAGAAAAGAGGAGAAGGGAATGACACGGCTAAGAAATGGCCATACTGGTCTTAACAGTTACCTCTATACGGTTGGGAAACATCGAAATGGAAGGTGCGAATACTGTCAAGAAGAGGAAACTGTGGACCAGGTTTTGATGGCATGTCAGAGGTACGAGGCAGAGAGAGAAGTCCTGAGAAAGGGACCAAGAGAGCTGGGAGAGGCAAATATAAGTGAAATACTGAAGAAGGGCATTGGGGACAAGTGTTGGGAACTGCTGTTGGCATATTTAGAGAATACAAGACTAATGAATAGGATTTGAGAGGTTTTGTTTTGTTTTTGGTTCAGTTCTAGTGGAGGTTTAATTTCCTGACGTCCACACTCCAGATCAGTGGGTGGCGGTAAAGCACCCGAAACCGCCATAAAAAGCAAAAAAGAAGTGAAATAAAAAGAAAAAGAAGAAGAAGACGTGAGGGAGACGCGAGGGAGACGCATAGGTCACCAGAGCTTGACTTTAGCATCTTGAATTGGTCCCATCCTGTGAGTATGTCCCGTGATACACAGTGTGTCTTTATGTGTTAACGCGCCGTCAACCTTTGCAAAGTTCCTTTTACCGTTTAGACTAAAAATACGGTAATAAAACGAAAATACGGAAATCCCACCGTTTTATTTTAGTTTTTCGTTTTAATCCAAAAGAGGAAATGTAATTTTCCGTCCAAATCCAAACACCGTTCTGTATTTCTGTAAATCCCTTTTGGGTTTTTTCCTTTTAAAACCAAACATAACCACACCCGCTAAACCGGAAGTGCGCACATTTTGCGCAGAGTACTTTTGATTAGTTTCCTCTCATCCGCTGTCAAAGGTCCAATTTATCCTGAGAACACTGTGGTGGCCTTAATAGAGGCTTCAATGATCCGATCCCCTTCCAGGTAGTGAGTGCTTGTGCTTCTATGAAAGCAGAATCATTCCCCTCCTTTAGCTTCAAGGTAAGGACGTCAAATCCACCTCTATGAGGGCAAGAGTTTTATATGGCAAATGTTTTACAGCTACAGACAAATCCTTGTAGAGCACCACGAGTGTCTCCAAACTAGCTGAGTGTAACATCCTCTTTCCCTCGACATGTACAGTTCCTCCACAGAGCAGTTGGGTCTGACACCCCCTGCTCTTATTAGAACTTATTTAGCTTTCAAGTCTATGAAGGATTACAAAAAACACAAACCTGCCAAGAGAAGGAAATCCACCCAAACTGACAAGCAGGACCAGGAGAAAATGAATGAGGGGAAGATGGACGGAGCCAAATAGAGGACAATGAGCCTAAACGTGCAGCCTGGGCTACAATGGAATAGTTCACATCAAAGCATTCATGTTGTAAAACGGCCCAAAGCCCAAATGTAGGAGCCATACATTGGGTTTGATTATTCTTTTGTATTATTTCTTCTTTCCTTCCACATTGTTGGTATGTGCGCGTGTGGTGTGACGTCATTTGCATCTACGACACCATAAGGGGGTGTGGTGTGTGTATATTAGCGTGTGTCTGTTCACCTGTGGGGCTCGGCGGATTGTTTGGAGCATGGCTGCAGGGTGAGCATGGGGAACAAACTATCTTTTGACCGTCATCGTCACTGTCACTGGGGTAATTATTGTCACTACGAAGTTTTATGCACTGTTGATCCTCTCTTGACCGATGAAAGACATCTATCAAGTAAGTGATTGCCGTGTTTCTGCTGGTGAAACGGAGTAATAAACATGATGATAAAATACTTCAGTGCGACGCGTCTTGAGTATAATCTCCTCATGTCTTACGGCTTTTGGATAGTTTTTTTGTGTATAAGCCGCTATACCAAACCTCAACCACACCGATTGGTTCTTAAATGAGATGAACAGTCAAACCCTTGGACACATTTACTCATTCGATGCAAGGAGAAAGTGCGTCCAAACCTTTGGACTGAATTTGGCTACAAAAATATCTGTAATAACAGAGATCCATTTATATTCACTGGCTAACGTTTCTTCATATGCTACCCTGCTATACGCTGGATCACAGACGCATTTCTGGCCTACAAACTTTCCATTCCAGGACTTTTACTGTGAAACTGTGCACTTCTAGTTTAATTGCTGCGCTTCTATTTGGCTTTATAGGAGAGAAATAATGTGTGAGCTCTCCCAGCAGGTTGGTGTGAAGGTGTGGACTCCGCTATGAATCAGGTGAGGACCCGGAGGAGGGAGTCCCTCTCTCTGAAGCCCCTTCTGTGTGGGGAACATGACAGCCAGACCAAAGCTCAGAGGTGAGAGGACCATCTCCAACTGTCCTCCACTCTTCTCCATGTCCCAACGTCTCTGACTCACTGACTCTGGTTCTACATGTGTGACCAGGATCCGTAAGAGACCAGGACCTGAACCCAGCTCTGTGAACATGAAGCGTACACGATACACTGTACCCTCTGCTGATACAAGGTGAGGGTCTCAGGCTGATGATGAGGTGTTTCTATCAGACTCTCTGGTGGAGGTTCTTGGTTTGTTGCTCGAGGGCCCTTCAGCAGTGTCCAGTGAGGGAGGGAGAGCTCCATGGAGGACTTGGTGAGACCTGTTGGTACTAAACCAAACTGACTGGTGAAGAAAACAGTGAGCTGAAAGACTGAGCTGCTGATTCTCAGTGGGACCAGCAGGACCAGTAGACCTAAACCACTACAGCGAGTCATGTGGTCCACATCCAGACATCACTTCATGGACCTTTACCTTGTTTTGGTCTCTGTGAGGACGGACACCATGTGAGCTGATGCTTCCCGATTAAATGATGATGTGATGATGTAATCTCAGTGTTTCTTTCAGTTCACATCAGCAGGGAGGAAAGTCTCCTGAACCCAGATGTTTGTCCATGAAGAGTGATCGGTCTAAAGATTGGCTGAATGACTTCAAAGATGGACTCCGTTCTTGTGACCCAGAGTAAGTTATTAAACAGATAAAGAACTGTTCTGATCCTCAGTTATGAATTACCGGAATGTTCGTTCATTGTTTAAAGTGTTGTTTCCATGACGATCCATCATGCAAGAATTCATTATCTTCATCTAACTCCGGGGTGTCAAACTCCTTTTAGGTTTGGGTCAGATACTGTCCACTTTTATCTCAAGTAGGCCAGACCAGTAAAATCTTAGGCAACGGTCCGGTCGACAGGGGGCCATCATTTTCAAGCGTGCTAGAGGAAGGTCTAACACAGGGGGGGCCCACACTTTTTGGGCTTGCGAGCTACTTTTCATTTCAAGAACATTTCAATCCAAGTCATGGCGATCGGCCGATTAATAATAACAAGCAGCAGCGGTAACCAAGGGAACAACAGCGCTGCAGACCAGGAGCACAAAATGAATCCATATAAAGAAAAACAAGCAACAATAAGTTACTGCAGACATTCTTGGTCGTTACCTCACTCGATGACTGCGCATTGATGCATGCGTGGTGACCTGACGTGATTCTTTCTTCAATGTTCGGTGATCTACTGGCACTGCGTTGGTGAAGGACCTGATCCCCCTGGTCTAACGCATGTGCTCAATTACAGAGTGCGACCCCCGGTGGACTGATGAGGAATAGCAGCTACTTTTATAGAAAAGCAATTTATGTCTTTCTGTAATTCTCACAATAGTAAAGTCATCTAGCGGGCCGCACTGGACCCCCTGGCAGGCCGGATTTTGCCCCCGGGCCTTGAGTTTGACACCCTAGTTTGACATCTAACTGGTCTGTGTGTGTTTAAGTGTGACCTTGAACATCCTCAGATGTGAACACAATGTGAGCTAGTTCCTCCACATAAGGTTCAGGAGAGGTCACATCTTGAGATAGCTGCAGGTTTCTGGACACAGATGACTGGGACTGAACATGTGATTCGAATAAATTCAGTGCTCTGTGGACTGACGTTGTCTCTGGACTTAATGCAGAGGTTTAGAGAAAGTATCGTCAGTAGACTCTGTGAAAAGGTCCAAAGACTAGTTTCAGAAGATCTAAGGAGACTTCTAGAGGTCAGGGGACGGACTAAAGAGGTTTGGAGTAGTTTCATAAGACTCTGTATCAGATGCAGAGTCTGCAGACGTTGTTTTTATGACTCACGGTAAGAACTAAAAACAGATGAAACTGATGACTAACTGTCACTCAACTAATTTACTGTCCGTCCATCATCGACAGTCTTCAGCATCTGGTTTCCATGATGATCAATCATGACGGAAGACAATATCTTTAACTAACTGTTGTATTGGTGTTGATGGTACAACACCATGTGAGCTGATGGTTCATGTTCCTCCACAGAGAGGACCAGGAGAGCTCAGAGGTTCCCACAGGTCCGTCTGCCCAGCAGCATCAAACACACCTGGACTCCATCTTCATGGTGTGTACATGTACAACTACTTTTACATCTCTCAGTTCACCATCATCTCCATGCTGCACTTTGTAGACCAGTGGATTGTCAGTCTGTCCAACATGGACCTGATGGTGGCTTCCATGGTTTTAGTTTGTGTCATTCATAGAATGTTCTGTTCCAGCTGCTGGAGGAGAACATCCTCACTTTTGTGAAGAAGGAGCTGAAGAAGATCCAGAAGGTTGTGAGTTCAGATTACCCAGAATGCTTAGAGAGTCAGAGGGAGGATGAAGAGCAGAGGAGGAGCACAGAGGCATTTGTGAAGATCTCAGTGCACTTCCTGAGAAGAATGAAGCAGGAGAAGCTGGCTGACCGTCTGCAGAGCAGTAAGAGGATTTCTCTACAGACTTACCATGCTGATAAATGAGACCTTCAACTAATGTCTCATGAGATGGACAGAATATATTCATAGTCTTTCTCTGAGGAAAGGACATGTTGAAATCTATTATTTGACTCATTGATCTTTGTTTTCTACACTCAGGTCTTCTTTCCGCTGAAGTTTGTCAGCGTGAACTCAAATCCAACCTGAAGAGGCAGTTCCAGTGTGTGTTTGAGGGGATCGTTAAAGCAGGAAACTCAACCCTTCTGAATGAGATCTACACAGAGCTCTACATCACAGAGGGAGGGACTGCAGAGGTCAATCAAGAACACGAGATCAGACAGATTGAAACAGCATCCAGGAAACCAGCCAGACCAGAAACAACCATCAGACAAGAAGACCTCTTCAAAGCCTCAGCTGGAGGAGAGGAACCAATCAGAACAGTGATGACTAAGGGAGTGGCTGGCATTGGGAAAACAGTCTTAACACAGAAGTTCACTCTGGACTGGGCTGGAGACAAACACAACCAGGACATACAGTTCACATTTCCATTCACCTTCAGAGAGCTGAATGTGCTGAGAGAGAAGAAGTACAGCTTGGTGGGACTTGTTCATCACTTCTTCAGTGAAACCAAAGCAGCAGGAATTTGCAGGTTTGAAGAGTTCCAGGTTGTGTTCATCTTTGACGGTCTGGATGAGTGTCGACTTCCTCTGGACTTCCACAACAATGAGATCCTGACTGATGTCACAGAGTCGGCCTCAGTGGACGTGCTCCTCACAAACCTCATCAGGGGGAAGCTGCTTCCCTCTGCTCGCCTCTGGATAACCACACGACCTGCAGCAGCCAATCAGATCCCTCCTGAGTGTGTTGGCATGGTGACAGAGGTCAGAGGGTTCACTGACCTCCAGAAGGAGGAGTACTTCAGGAAGAGGTTCAGAGATGAGGAGCAGGCCAGCAGGATCATCTCTCACATCAAGACCTCACGAAGCCTCCACATCATGTGCCACATCCCAGTCTTCTGCTGGATCACTGCTTCAGTTCTGGAGGAGGTGTTGAAGACCAGAGAGGGAGGAGAGCTGCCCAAGACCCTGACTGAGATGTACATCCACTTCCTGGTGGTTCAATCCAAAGTGAAGAAGGTCAAGTACGATGGAGGAGCTGAGACGGATCCACACTGGAGTCCAGAGAGCAGGAAGATGATGGAGTCTCTGGGAAAACTGGCCTTTGATCAGCTGCAGAAAGGCAACCTGATCTTCTATGAATCCGACCTGACAGAGTGTGGCATCGATATCACAGAAGCCTCAGTGTACTCAGGAGTGTTCACTCAGATCTTTAGAGAGGAGAGAGGACTGTACCAGGACAAGGTCTTCTGCTTCGTCCATCTGAGTGTTCAGGAGTTTCTGGCTGCTCTTCATGTCCATCTGATCTCCATCAGCTCTGGTGTCAATCTGCTGTCAGAAGAACAAACAACCTCCATGTCTACTAAAGTCTCTAAAGACAATCCTGAACCACCGCATCTCTACCAGAGTGCTGTGGACAAGGCCTTACTGAGTCCTAATGGACACCTGGACTTGTTCCTCCGCTTCCTCCTGGGTCTTTCCCTGGAGACCAATCAGACTCTCCTACGAGGTCTGATGACACAGACAGGAAGTCGATCACAGACCAATCAGAGAACAGTCCAGTACATCAAGGAGAAGATCAGTGGGGATGTGTCTCCAGAGAAAAGCATCAACCTGTTCCACTGTCTTAATGAGCTGAATGGTGGTTCTCTAGTGGAGGAGATCCAACAGTCCCTTAGTTCAGGACGTCTCTCCACAGATAAACTGTCTCCTTCTCAGTGGTCAGCTCTGGTCTTCATCTTACTGTCATCAGAAGAAGATCTGGAGGTGTTTGACCTGAAGAAATACTCTGCTTCAGAGGAGGCTCTTCTGAGGCTGCTGCCAGTGGTCAAAGCCTCCAACAAAGCTCTGTAAGTACAGAGAGTTCAAACATCAGGACTTAAATATGCTGCCATCTTTTCTACCTATTGTTCATATTTTCTTCTTGTTGTCTCTTCAGACTGAGTGGCTGTAACCTCTCAGAGAGAAGCTGTGAAGCTCTGTCTTCAGTTCTCAGCTCCCAGTCCTCTAGTCTGAGAGAGCTGGATCTGAGTAACAACGACCTGCAGGATTCAGGAGTGAAGCTTTTGTCTGCTGGACTGAAGAGTCCACACTGTGACCTGGAGACTCTCAGGTCAGGATTCAATTAATGTCATATTGTTGTCTTTATTTATATCAAAGTTACATTTCAGACTTTCATGAGATTATTTCTGCTTGCATGATTCAAATCAAATATATGTTCTCCAAATATTTCCATAAATGAGTGTTTTAGAGTTTATTTTCAATGTAATGTTACCATAGAAATATTTGAGATTAATTATAGATATCAGTAATTTTATGTCAGACTTTTGATCTACATTAGTGGTCTTTTGGTTGTGACTTTAAACTAGTCAGTAACCATGTTAATTGTGACCCATAAGTAGATAACAGTATCTCAGTACTGCAGTGACCTTCCAGCCCTCACAGCTCCCTCTGATCATGTGACATGTGTGTTGTTTTCTGTGTCTGCAGGCTGTCAGGTTGTCTGATCACAGAGGAAGGCTGTGCTTCTCTGGCCTCAGCTCTGAGCTCCAACCCCTCCCATCTGAGAGAGCTGGACCTGAGCTACAATCATCCAGGAGACTCAGGAGTGAAGCTGCTGTCTGCTGGACTAGAGGATCCTCACTGGAGACTGGAGACTCTCAGGTACGAAGAGGCTGCAGCCACAGACCATCAGTCTTGTAGAGGAGGCAGAGCTGGAAACCTTTTCTCTGTCCCACTGTCAGCCTGGTTAATAAGACCCTAACACACCAAGCTGACCTCAAACTACCAGAGACTCATCAAACTGTTCGTGTCCCACATGAGACCATCAATACAGACAGAAGTAGTGAGGAACAGTAGCCAGGATGAACCTAAACAGGGAGGAAGGTGATGAAAGGCTTGTTTCTCTGGACCCTTGTCTTGTTTCCACGTTTTTAAGAGAGGACAGTGGTGTCTCCTGACACGTTGACGGCATCATGGTGGGTTGATATGAGTCAACGTAGTCATGCTGCAGGTTTGTGGGCTCTTATGAAAATCACATGTTTAGATGCTCGTCATCTGCCTCCAGTGTGTGTTGTCCTTTAGTCCAGACATTGTTATTATTATTATTATTATTATTATTAAAAGACAAACAGTCAAAAAAAATAAGACTGGACCAAAGTTCTAGGGGGACTCAGGCAGTGATCTGTGGCTGCAGACCCACCTGAGCTGTAACATCTTCACCTCCAGACTACAGGTGATAGAAACCAGTGTTTCTATTACTGTTGCTAGGAGACGGGATGTGAACAGCAGTGTTACAGTCAGACCCTTTGTACCTCCAACCACCCCGACCTCCTCCATCAGAGGGTTTGTGGCGCTGTAGTGATTTCATGCTGCTTTCTCCTTTACTTCAGAGAGACAACAGTCATTATTACACAAACACAAGAGGTCGCTTGTCAGGACCAAAACATCCAACAGTCAATACTTCTACTGACCACGGATCAGCTGACTGTGTGGTGGAGATGAACCCACAGAGAATAGTCTCCATCTCTGCAGCTCTACTCAGCTGGTTAGCCTACTTTAGCTCCTTGCTTTGGTTGTTCAGCTCATTTCCTGTTTGGTTCAGTCTGATTGTTGTCAGCTAGAGACACAGATATTCCCCTCAGGAGGTGGTGGAGACCAAAAACAGAGCTAAAAGAGAGAGAATAGTGGACTTCCATCCATATCTTATTATATTGTATATAATGTGTATCTTTTTTATTATATTTTCTTCCCTGTACATGCTGCTGTGATAACAAAATTTCCCTCTTGAGGGATCAATAAAGTATCTATCTACTTTAGAAGATTATCACATATCTTGTTTTCACTAAACCACAAGTGGACCAATAAATCACTTGATGCAGATCTAAACATTTGATTCACTGACTGCTGAAGGAAACTGAGTGTGAAATGGAAGATGATGGTCAGTATAATACTGATAATAATAGATGATGAATAATGAATATCATGAGCTGTGGTCATCAGCCAATCAGAAGAAGCTCCACTGCAGTAGAAGAGGTGGTCCATGTGGACATGAAGGACAAAGCTGTGTGTATGAGAGTGATGTAATGTCCATGTCTCCATGCTGCTCTGACCCCCCTCCTCCTTTCAGGGTGGAGCCTGACGGAGTCCGATGGTTGAGACCAGGTCTGAGGAAGTGTAAGTGTGCTTTGATTCATGAAGATTCAACCATCTTCACACTGTGACGTCACTCATTCACCTCTGTGATGTCATCATCAAAGTGTCAGTAGATGATCACATGATTAATAACTGCAGCTGTATTGTGTCTTGTTCTCTCATCAGATTCCTGTGAACTCACAATCGACACAAACACAGTAAACGGAGAACTCAAACTGTCTGACAACAACAGGAAGGTCACATATGTGAAGGAGGATCAGTCATATCCTGATCATCCAGACAGATTTGACTACTGGGCATCAGCTGCTGTGTAGAACTGGTCTGACTGGTCGCTGTTACTGGGAGGTCGAGTGGAGAGGAAACGTTCATGTATCAGTGAGTTACAGAGGAAACAGGAGGAAAGGAAGCAGAGATGACTGTTACTTTGGAAGGGAATGATCATTCCTGGAGTCTGATGTGCTCTGATGAAGGTTATTCTGTCTGTCACAATAAGACAGAAACATTCATCTTCTCCTCCTCCTCCTCTGGTAGAGTAGCAGTGTATGTGGACTGTCCTGCTGGCTCTCTGTCCTTCAACAGAGTCTCCTCTGACACACTGATCCACCTCCACTCCTTCAGCACCACATTCACTAAACCTCTTTATCCTGGGTTCTTCCTCTGGCCCAGTCCTGGTTCCTCAGTGTCTCTGTGTTCTCTGGAGGACCGAGAGTCTCCTCCTGGTGGAGAACCTTCCTCTCTGCTCACCACATAGTTCAGTCTGTACAGGACGTCACACATTCGGGGAGGATTTTTATTATTTTTATGAGCTACCTGGTAGCAGCAGCAGTACACACATATGCTACAATATTTAATTATTAAAAACACGGACACATTCAAATGAGCTTTTTATTGTTTCAAAGTAGAAACACAAACCAAAAAGAAATCTGTGACTCTAAATTGAGGACATACTCACTTTATTACGATACAACACTTTGTTAGAGCTACTAAAGGAAAAGGAGAAGCTGTGGGAGGCGAGTTGTGTGCGTAGCTTATGATCAACCTGCACACAGAATGTATATAAATAAATGCTTTAAGTGAATCCCGAAGGCTGTAAACCCAAATCCAGACCACGAGGTCAGTGCTTCATCCGTGTGATTAATAAACATACAGCTGCAAAACACACGAAGAGTACTGTGAAGACGAGTGATTCGACTTGTATACGAACGAGCTGGATTCAAGAAGACGTGAGACGACAAGCTGGAGAAATAACACACAAATAAGTTTACCGATGATTTATTTATTGTGCATGAGGGGAAATTGCTGCTTCTATTTATCACGGTGAACTGAAGATCACATCCAGGAAAACTGTTTCTCACCATTTTCGATAGCAATGAAACAATCCAACTGATTGTTGAACAAACAGATTTAACCTGAGGAGGAGAATCCTCGTGAAGCGTCCGTGTCATGTAAACACATTCCACACGTCTGTGACCTGCACTGAAAAAGGAGCATTGATCTCAGACTCAGACTATAAGTGAAACAAGTGTTTTACAAAGAGAAAAATACGATTTTAAGACTCCGATCAAAAGGTCAAAGTCTAAAAAAGAATTGCTTCTAAAATTTAGCAAAAGAAAAAAAAAGGCCTCAACCAGCCAGCTGGTCGCCTACAGTTGAGTTCCAAACAGTTTTTTGCCTCTTTGGTTTCCCTCAGAAGCACTCTGCGCTCTCAGGATCATTCAGGAGAAACTTCACAGGCACAAAGTGGTTCCACTGCTTTTAGATCACAGTCAGTATTTGGATGTCGGACCGGAAGTCGTTTTTTACCAGGTTCTGTCTAACTTGCCTGCTGGAATAAAGATGAAAACATCACACGTGATGGTAGACTTTCAGTGCACAAGTTGAAAGAAACCCAATAAAAGTAGCTAGAAGTTTAGAACATTTTCCCTCAGACTGAGCTTATTCCACTAAACGTATAAAACAAGTCATTGTTCCTTCATGGACTCTGTCAGTGGAGGACAGAATGTAGATAAGAGGATTGTATTGTGGTTGTGTGAGGTTCTTCTCCATAGTCAGTACAAAGATCTCTGAGACCTTTTAGAGTCTCAAACCAATTTTAGATGAAATCAATGAGGAAGTTCAGCAGTGGTTGTGGCCCCAATCACATGACATCCATCTTCATTCATCTGAAGGGAAACTGTGGAGAAAAAGCTCAGACAAACACACAAAGGAGCCCTTCAACACGTCGAGCATAAATGTGTAAAGACACAAATCGAGGCGGCGCCAGAGTGTCGCTGCAGACCGGCCGAGGCTCCTCCCCTCACGGCCTCCGACCGGCCGAGGCTCCTCCCCTCACGGCCTCCGACCGGCGGAGGCTCCGAGAGGAACCGGCATCGAGGCGAAAGGCGACTCTCCGACCGGCGGGTCAGTGGATCTCGATGACGACGGGCTCGTAGCCGCCCGCGGAGACCCTGCGAGGACCCGGAGGACATCAGTCAGAGATCATCTCCGGGACTTTAATGCTTTCATCCTTCTTCATTAGTGTTTTATTGCAGCTGTTTTCTCCTTGTGAAGCACTTTGTAATAAAAGTGATGTAAACTAAAAGTTCATTATTATTTACAGTTTACTTTATCTGACAACAACATACTTTAAATATCTATAAACAGCTATAAACTAGTTAGTCTCTGTACAAGTCGGCCACGGCGACACAAGGACCAGAGGACCGGCGTCTGCACCTGGGGGGCCTGTTGGAGGGCAGCACAGGTCTCGGGGGTCTCGGGGGTCTCTCGGGACGTCCGGCGTCCTTCTCGCCGTCTCCAGTCGGGTCGGAAGCGAAACACAACCCCCCCGAGGCGCTGCTCCCCGTGGAGGCGTTCCTGCGATGCGTGAGGTCCGACAGGCTGGAGGAGCAGGAGTGCTCGGTGCTGTAGCCTGCAGGGGGGGGGCAGGTAGAGGGGAGGGGGGGTCACCAGTGTGCTGCTTCACCTGCACCCTCACATCAAACATCGGGGGGCTTCTGGTACCTGAGATCCTGCTGTGCTGGCTGGCGTAGCTGGAGGTGCGAGAGTGGCCCGACTGGAAGAGTTCTGCAGCGCCGAGCGGGCTCGACTGGGACTCCTCGAGGAGACCTGAAGGCCGAGAAGAGACAACTTTAGTCACCCTGCAGGAGATCAGAACCAACGGAATGAGAATGTATAGAAACAGATTGACAACTATTAAGGGACTAAGTGGAAAAAGAAGACAAAGGCAACAAAATTTAACAGCACAGTCAAAGAGTAACAGAAGAACTGTATGTTATAGGAGGGAAATAATGATGTGTACATATAATCCAAATAAACTCTAAAAAAAAAAAAAATCTTTCTGTGGCGAGGCCCCTGCTCTGGTGGTCCTCATGGCGTCCTACTGGTTCCACACCTGAGCCGACGATGGAGGGGCGTGGCTTGGAGGCTCGGCCCAGAGAAACCCCGCCCGCCGGCCCGGGCTGGGCCGTTCCCTCCCCCTTGCAGTCCAGCTGCAGCGTGTGCTCTCGTCCCGGGATGGAGATGCACTTGGCAGTGCTCTGAGGCCTGAAGGAGGAAGAAGACAAACAGCTGCTGAGTCTGGACCAGATAAAAGTACGAGCAGGACTTTACCCACCACTAACAACGAAGTGTCTTTAGCTTTGAAACCTTTAAGAGATACAAACAAACAAACATTATTAATAATAATAATATAAGAATGATTTAACAAAGTAGTAAAATTCTTTTTTGTTGTTTGTTTTACGAAACGGAAGAAAACCTCATTAATCAATCCGGATTTTAATCAAGTAGCGAAGAAGATATTTATTGGTATTTGTTATTTTAATTAATGTAATTGAATTGATTTTAAACAGACATCTATCATTTATTTTTTTTTTCCATCTGCAAACTGCTTATCCTGCTCACGGGGTCGCAGGGAGCTGGAGTCAATCCCAGTCAACTCCAGGTGATAGACGGGGGCGACAGTGCTGACCACCACACCACCGTGCTGCCCCGCATTTTATTTTATTTATTTAAATTTTATTTTATTGTATTTTAATTATTTAAATTTTATTTCATTTTATTTATTTAAATTTTATTTTATTGTATTTTATTTATTTAAATTTTATTTTATTGTATTTTATTCATTTAAATTTTATTTTATTGTATTTTATTTATTTAAATTTTATTTTATTGTATTTTATTTATTGTTTTTTGTTTATTCTTTAGCTTTTTTTAAATTTCATTTCAGTGTTTAGAATTCTTCCTTCTTCATTTTTCGTAACGTCACTTAATTTATTCATTCAGAATTCACGTGACATGAAGAGAAATCTTCAAAATTAAAAGAAATAAAACTTTACGTTTTAAAACAGGGATCTCCGGACAGCAGGGTCATCCCGATGGTCACCTGTTTAAAAAAAAAAGACATTTAACACACACTTTTCACACTGTTGTCAGGTTGAGCATCCAAAGTATTTATAAGATCAGAATAATTACAACACTAACTACATTACGTACAATAGTCGTCATAATACTGAAAGTGGAAGCACTTAATATATTACTACAAAACTATCTGCATCAAAATATACTTAAAATAAACATGTAGATTTCAGAATTCTGTGTTTTATTTTACTAGAATTAGTTATTATTGTAATATTGACTTTCTTCTTAACTGCGCCTGAAACCTTAATGTTTCATTACAGGATATGAAATGAAAACGAAATTGATCAGAATAGATTGAAACTGCGTTACAACACATTCATTGATCAGCTGGTCAGCGATGGCGTCCTCGCCTGGAGGCGCCTGAGGACGCGCGTGCTCACCTTCAGGATGGAGTTGTCCTGCCGCGTGTTCTTGGTGTCGTATCCCTCCAGCAGACAGCAGCGCACCGTGGAGCCGGAGCCGGCGAACTCCGCCATGTTGAGGTCTGTGAAGCCCAGCTGAGGGCGAGGAAGAGGAGGAGGAGGAAGAGGAGTTAGTTAAAGATTTAGTCAAGAGCTGATTACGACTGATTAAATGCCGTAAATGAAATTCCAGACGTGCTTTGAAAACACTGACATAAAACCTCCTGTTAATTTAATGCGAGTTAATTATGCGGAGCAGCTCGTATCCAACACCAATCACATGGAGGTCAACTGTAATTGTAGTAAGAAGCACTTTAACCAAAGTCACTCATTAAAAATCTGAGATGTTAGTGAGACTTTAGAGGTCAAAGGTCAGCCTCCTCCAACCGGCTTTCAGGAGCAAAGCTCCCGTTTTTATTATTTGATCTCAAAGTGTGATTTGGATCATTCTAGAGAACCAGAAATAAAGTCTCATAGTTTAACCTCCATTCAGGATTCCAGGAGTCGACTTCTTTTCCCCCGAAAACAAAGCTCACGGCTTCGTGCCGCCGTGTTATTTTAAACCAGTCCACGATTAAAGGTTTCCGTGTTCTGCATCCTGCCGCTTCCTTTTTACCCGCGTTTAAAAAAGGAAGCCGTCTCCTGAGGAGGGAAGCGTGCTCTTTATTTAGCGGGTTCCTGCGTGACTCATCGGCCCTCAGGAGCCTTGCGGGGCCTCGTGAGCGGGACGCGTCTCCGGGACGTTTCCCAGCCTCTTCCTCTGCTTTTCTCGTGGGTCATCGGCCTCTGCCGCCTCGACCAAAGTGCTGTGAGGAATGTTTAGACGACGCAGGCTCTTACCTTCGAGTACGCTTTTCCTCCTTTGAGTTCCTGCAGGGTTCGGGAGGGGAGGGGGGGGAAGGGGGGGGGACAGGAAGACAAGAAATGAGCCCACGGCGATGCATCTGATCCTACTTGGTATCCCAGAGAGGTTCCTCCCTGAGGGCCTTTCTGTGAGGTCTCCTCTGGACTTAAACCCCGTGGCTCACTGCTCACAAACAACGTATAAGACTGATGATAAAAACAATTAGCTGTGTGACGTCGGCCCCCGGGACTCGTACCTTCCTGACGGACACTCTGCAGACCGACGGGTCCAGGACCCCCGTGTGGGGGTTGGCGCTCATTTTGGACACAAACGAGAACCTCTTCCTCCAGCGAACACAGTTCTCGTGGACCTCGTGTCTGCAGAGGGACACAGAGGAGCAGCGCTTGTAAGTCACGTGTCTCGGCCGTGGACAGCGGGGGGGTTTGTTCATTCTGAACAGACTTTCTAGTTGTGCGTCTCACGTCTCTGGAGCCGAAACGCTTCGGGGTTCTATGGCGACGCCACTGGGGTCACGCGTCGGTTTACTAGAGAAGAGAAGGAGCGTCTGCATCTGCTGAACACACCATCGCGTTGGGAGGTTCTCTGCTCATGTATTCATATTTATAATGTTTGGCAACTAGATGGAAGCATCGGCCAAATTAATCAATCAGTGGATTAACAGAGAGATTGTTTGTTTTTGCTCTTTGGTTTTAACTGAACCAGCGATTAAAATGCATGAAGAATCAAATCTCACTTCTTTTCTTCTACGCTCTCAGATTTGACTCAAAGAATGTTTGATTAATGGAAGAAAGACAATAACAGGAGTGATTTCTGTAGGAGGCCTTGTTGACTCTGGGAGGTTTACGTGTTTTTAGGATTCTTTTCTATTAAAAAGAGACGTTTATTGATCCCTGAGAGGAAAACAACAAGTATTTGTTGTTACTTACACAACTACCGTGCACACACACACACACACACACACACACACACACACACACACACACACACACACAGGGCCCAAAGGGACTTATTTAGTCTTATTTAGTATTATTATATATTATAATATGAAATGGAAAGCAATGAGAATTATTGAGAAAATAAATAGTAAATTTACTAATTTATTAGTTGCTTTAAATGGTTGAACCAGGATAAAAACATTTACTTCCACTATCATTTTGATATTTCTGGACTAAATGTTGCTTTCACACTTTCGCTCCCCGCGCGTCATGTGATCCATGTGACGTTTTGTGAGGGAGGAGATATATTCTGAAGTGAATGTTAAAATAACTCTGGTTTCTTTACAATAAACGGCGATGTGTCTTAAAACAATCCGCCCAAACAACATGGAATAAAAAGGTCTGGTCCTCCTTTGACATTCACTGATGTGTGTAGATAAAAAACGTGTTTGTAATGGGAGGATTCTCCCTCCTGAGCGTATCCACGGAAACCAGTGAGGTTCTCAGGAGGGCCGAAGCGCCGTCTCTGCTCTTATCAGGACGCCATTGGTCCTCCAGTGTGTCACGGCGAGCGTTTCCAGACCGCATTCCTCAGTCCAGATGGCTTTGTTCAGCCGCCATGGAAACCTCACACTCCTCAAAGCCCAGCGGCGCCCTGCCAGCAGCCAGGAGGACGGGGAGGACGGGGAGGACGGGGAGGACGGGGAGGACGGGGAGGACGAGGAGGCGCTGTCTCCTTCACGAGCCCCTCCGACGTTTGTTCTTAACTTCACCTGCAACCTTTTTGTCCCTCGCGCCACAAGTGACCTCGTTTGTACTGAGGAGGACGTAGAGACGGCTGGAGACCTGTCAATCAGCGTGTAGCCCCGCCCTAAAGCTTCCACTGCTTTAAAGTCTATTGGAGACCTGTCTGTCACAGTAAGCCCCGCCCTAAATTCCTACACGATCAACAACTACATTGTTAGATTCGTTCTTTAAACAAATACATTTGTGTCGTTAAATTGTTACTGTTAAACATATTACTGATCTCAGTTGGACTTCTTAATTTAAAAGGACAACAAGGATTAACGGTGTAATCAAACTGGTTTGATTAACCAGTTACAGGATCTGAAATCAGATTTGTTTTGTTCTCCTAAAAACTAAATAACGAATCAGAAATGTGGAAAAAGTTATTAAAAGTTATTAAAACACAACTCTGTGTTTCTTCTGCACAAAAGGAAAACGTCTGCGTTACAACAAACTACAGTGATTTTAACCCTCAAAGTCACCAGTCAGCCCTGATAGGAGCCCCCCCCCCCCCCACACGGGACCCCCCATGACTCAACGTGTCAGCTACGCAGCGCCACGGGACCCTTATCTCCCGTCCTGGCAGCGCGGCTCCTTGGGGGCCACAAACACAAACGGCGCCCAGGAGCAGGCGGCCTCCTTCAGAGGGAAAGTTGACCCGGGGGCCGGAAGAGAGGGGGGGGGGGGGTTAGTGGAATAGTTCCAACCTGGGAGCGTTTTCCATTGCGTCTCCCTGGGGGCCAGTTCATTAGAAAAGGGTTGAAGTTAAAGCAGAACAAACATGAGCCAAGAGAAAAGAAGAAAAAGCGCCTCCCACTGCGCTGCTGCCATGGCAACACGCCGCTCCGCTGACTAATGGCAGAAGGTACGTGAAACTAAGCAGGTCTCACTTCATTTTACAGGAATTCCCCTCAAAAGGACGAGAGACATTTTGATCACCTGACCAGATACCAGAGGAACACACACACACACACACACACACACACACACACACACACACATCCCAGCAAAACGCCAACGGCTGGAAAGCGAGAGGAAAACAGGAAGCAGCTGTGGAGAAGCTGCTCTCCTCACTAAGTCCTTCCTTCCTCTCCTCACTAGCTCCTTCCTTCCTGTCCTCCGGTGTCTCCCGTCCTCTCCAGGTGAATAAAGCGACTGTCGCTCTCCTTTTCGGTGGAACGGTGCAGTGATTCACTGATCAACTTCAAACCTTCTGATTGGATAACGACGAGTAACGACGAGTTGATCCGATTTTACAGAGAATTTAAAGGTCGATCCCGACGTCTGAGGAACCAGATTTATATTCTGTTATTATGCAGATACGTTTAAATGATTCACTTTAAAGAACTCAGAGTTCCTTCATTTGTTGTTGAATTACGGATGTTTGTTCCAGGAACTACTTTGTCAACAGCTGTTCTGTTTTTTGTTTCCATGGAAACTTTCCGCACACAAATTTTCCGCATTAGAAGCAGTGGAATAAATATCAGGAGTCATGTGAGAGACTTAAAGGTGACTGATGGAGTGCTCAAGGGCCAACGTTGGTCCTCTAAAGTCCTCGTTTTGTCCCCTGGGTTTAACATGTCCCTCGACCTCCCGACCCGTGTCCTATCTTGTCTCCCGGAGACGGTCCTGAGAAATCTGCTCCTCTAAATCGATCGTCGACCAGTTTAAAGGAGGTTAATTAATTACAGTAAAACTCCGTAAACAAGAAGAGAGACAGCTGATGGAAGCTGAACTCGTTTCTGCAGGTCGGAACGGAGCCCAGATTTAGTGATTCCAGATGTTTGCTACAGCTGCATCAATGATTGGTTTAATGATGTATTCACTAACAGTTTACGCAGATGGGCGACAGCTCATCAGTCCTATATGTGTGCAGACTATATATATATATATATATATATATATATATATATACACATTAAAACCAGAAATGAATTCAGCTTTAATTTGTGTCAATCACTTGTTTCCTTTGGCTCCTCTTTGATGAACTTCACCCCCCCAGTTATGAGTTATAAAGAATGACATCATCAGTATTAATCCGTCGGCAGTTTGTTCCTTTAGATGCCAAAGAGTTTTTTTTAACTGTATTTCGCTTGTTATGAGGGTGGAAAAAACCTCTAGAACGTAACTGGAACCATCGGGGGAACAGAGGGGTTTTAATTGGAGTGGGTCGGTAAATGTAAGATGTTATGTTGTAATTCAACAATAAATCAGGTCGCTTCACTCAAACTGGACTTTTTCACATGGCAGGAATGTTAAATGCTGAATGGACTTTACTCGCGTTTCTCTTTCCGTCCTCCAGCCCCTCAGAACGCTCTCACCCTACAAGTCCCCGTTCACCCGCTGAGGACAGGCGCTACCAGGCGGTCAGCAGTCACACAGCCGTGGTCACGGCAACAGCCGGGGCAAAGTGGGGGTCAAGCGACCCGGGCCAAACAAGAACGCGACGCGCCGGCCCGATTCCCAGCAAGTGTTCCAGAGCCAACGGGGACTGGATCGTGTGAAACCCCTTGCCTCCCCCCCCTCAATATCCGACCAAAAACAAGGCCGCCCCCCCCCGGCACAAAGGCCGGGCCTGTCGGACCTGTGACATAACGTGGTGGGAGGCTCCCCGCGCCGTCGCCTCGTCCTCTGAGAGCGTCTTGTGGTCAGTCAGCGACGCGATAACGGGGGAGTTAGAGGGGGAGGGGGGGGGGCTTATATAAGCTCCGGAGAGGAGCGTGACCTCAGCGGGGGGGCCTGGGACGTCTGAGGACGGGGGCTGTTGGCGAGTTACTTACTCAGAGTTTCAGCTCAATCAATAAAAACGAGTTCATGAGCAGAAACAACGGTGATGTGACGCCGTGTTTCTGTTGAACATTCTTGGGACATTTCTTGGGGATTGTTTTTGTCCAGCGCAACATGAGGAGGAGGAAGATTCCACGGGACGGAGTCGTGCTATCAGCTCTGATGTGAAGGGTGAACATCGCCATGGCAACGTGCATACGTCAAACCGAGCCCAAGGCCGATAGCTGCGGCAACGCGCCCATCCGGATCGACTTTCTCGCTTCTATACAAGAAACGAGTCTTAATTAATTAAAACATTATCTTCAGTATCCTGTAAACTACCTGATTTAGTGGCTAAATATTTACTCAAATGTAGTGGTGGTTTCTACAGGATCTATAAACTAATTGTATAATATATATAATTATAAATTATATATATATAAATAAATATATAAATATATATATATATATAAATAATAAATTTATTTATTTATTTTTATATCTATATATATATAAATAAATATATATATATATAAATAATAAATAAATAAATAAATATATTTATTTGTATATATATAAAAATATATAAATAAATATATAAATATATAAATATAAATAATAAATAAATATATTTATTTATATATATAAAACGGTTGCTGTTGAGGAGCATCGTGCGGACGAGCGTTTGTCCTCCGTTTTAAGAGTGAAACAATGAGAAGAAAACAACGTGCAGCTGCCGAGCCGAACGAGTGCTCCTCAAACAGAGAAGAGAACTCACTATCTGCTCTTTGAAAGGAACGTCTGCTGACTAGAAAGCCGAGACGGTCGCCGCGTGTTCACGTTCCCCCTTTCAAGACACACAAACACGCACAGACAAGACGCACGCGACTACGGGACGGCGGGGCGGTGGAGCACAAACGAAGAGGACGGCGTCCTCGTTGGCGAGAGAAAGCGTCAGCTCAACGGAGGCCACTTTGATTGAAGCCTCTAGAATGTCCCTCTGAGCGAGAAAGAGAAACCGCCTCTGTGTAAACAACCAGAGTTTAAACCACATTGAAAGGTTTGCACACGCGTGTACGTGACGTACAGGCCCCTCAAACGCCGCAGCCTGTCATGGAACCAGCAGCCGAGAGAAGCTCCCCTTTCTACTCGTACCCAAAACCTCTGCAACATCTGGAAATGGAGTCACAGCGAGGCGACGAAAGGTCAAAGCGCCTCCAGGCGGTCACCGTGTCCCGTCTTTATCTTCAGAGCAGTGTGTGAAAAGAAGACATCTGAAGAGGCTTTTAAGGCTCAATAATCTGAGGCTGATTTTATCAAAGTCCGGTGGGGTCAATCTGGAGTTTTGTGACGTGAATCCAGAGATGAAAAAGCACCAAATTAAAAGGAGATTTTGAAGAGAAAACCGGCGCCAGCAGCAGTGAGGTTTTTTTTTTAAATGTTTAGTCGGCCGGGCCTCTGAACATGGAAACACCCGGTGTTTAACCGGGACTGCAGGGTTCCATCCAGCAGCCGCAGGAACGTAAAGCTGAGAGACTTTGATCCCAACGACGGATTTCATGTAAGATGCAACGATTTGAGTTTTTTATGACACTGAACGGAAAATAAAACAAACAGGCTAAAAACACCAGAATCACTGAATGGATCCTCCTCCGAATCAACTGCAAATAAAAAGCACTTCAATAGGTTTTGCATAAACAAAGTGAAGTTTGGGGGTGAAAACAACAAAGAGATGCATTTAGTCCCACATGAGAACTCAGTGGAAAATAACAGAACCAAGCAGTTCACAAACCATTGAGGAAATTAGAAGAAAACTCATTATAGGCCAATTAAATGTCATTAAATCCACTACATTGCGACATAAATGCACTTTAAGAATTATTTACACACTTAAAAATACTACTTATATAGTTTTTGCAGAAATGAAGTGATGTTTAAACAACAGACAACGTTTGTATTCGATCATCGAACACTATGAAATCAACATATTTGGGGTAAAAACAAGTTTTAGTCAGATTAAAGCGACTTAGAGAGAAATAAATCAACTTTAAACGACATTAAAGTCGCTTTATGACGTCTAGTGAGTGAATGAAACGACGCTTCTTGTTGTTGTTTATTTGTTTGTTTGTTTTGTTTACCTGGAAGAAGTCGCCACGAAGTCTCCGTCCAGCAGGCGGATCTTGCAGAACAGAACCCCGTTGACGAACGGAACCGCGCTGAGCTCCTCCAGCGTCAGCTGCGTCTGGAACTTGAACTTCTTCTTCTTGGCGAAGAACGCCATCGCTGCGGGCCGCGCCGGGCGGCTGGGGCCGGGCGTGACGTCACCGCTAAAGCTGGGCGTGACGTCACCGCGGACTACCGTTCTTCTCCTCGCTGTCCGGACCAGAAACCTGGGGGAAGAAGGGGAAGAAGTCACCGTGTTGACGTCGGGACGCGGGCGGAGGACGTGCGCGTCCCCCGCGGGGGGGCCTCGGGGGGGCCTCGCCGGGCGGACTCACCGGGAGGCATGTCGGGTCCACGGGGCGCCGCTTCCAACGCGGGGACGGAGGAACCAGACGTGGCGTCCTCCGTTTTCCCTTCGGTACCGGGAAGAGGAACTTTTGCACGAAGGACAGTCAAGCCGGCCGAGACCGGCGCATCGCCTAACATCCGGCGGTCCTTTTTCACAATAAGAGCTCAAAACTTTATTAATCCCTAAATCCGATGGACATTCAAATGTGATTTGACATTCGCATAAATGTTGGATTACAAATAAATACATACGACTAAAGCAAGAAGGGACCACAGTTGGAGATATTACTGATCAATTATGTTTCTTTACTAGACATATAATAAATTGATTATTTTACCTGTATGTCACGACATGTATACCAAGATACTCAAGATTTATTCTATTAAGGAAATATATAAATTAAACTTTCTAATGATCAATATAATTGACACTATGCATAGTCGATTGGATACTTGATAAGTACTAATACTCTCTAAGCTGCTAAAATGGTTTAATGTTGCTTAACCTATAAGCTTTTGTTTTAAGACCAGCGGTTTGACAGCACAGTGAAATTAAACAACACAACAACGACATTGTGTGGCGGTAATCTGACATGACACCAAAACAAGAAAAACTCCAGATAATTCAACTGAAACGGATTTATAGTTGAAAGGGAATAATAAAGGTCACACGTATGTGATGATTGTGGTTATTTATGTTGCTTGCTCTTTTATTTCGGAAACTGACAAAAACAGTTTAGTGGTCGGTGCTGATTCAGATCACAATAATTGATCAATAAACTGGTCAAATCATCTTTTTAAACTGGCTTTTATTTAAGTTCAAGACTCACTTTAATACTTTATTTTTCGTCATGGATTGGTTTGAGTTGGTTGATATCTCTGACGGTTACTGGCGGCGTCACATGAAAACACGATTATAAACGACTTTCAATCAATCTAAGTCAGTGAGACACATCGAAATGTTGTTTTTCTTAAGGAAGCTTTAAATCACCAATGAATCAAAGTAAATGAAACAGAAACTGAATAAACAAAAACAATACTACACTGAGCAGCATGTTTGAAAATAATACTACTCCATTATGATTGAACAATGTTATGTGATCATGTGTTTACAACCTGGAGGGAAAATAAAGTCTTTAATGAGTTTAGTGTTGTTCATCCAGCAGAGAGCAGCAGATCACTGAAGGAAGTAAGACGAGATCCATTTAAACTGAACTCCAACGCAATAATGTTCAAATGATTGAGTATGATGAAAGTATTAACTTGGCGTGGGGTTAGAGAAGGTGTGCTGGGAAGCACAAGGTTGGTCGTTTGATTCCAGGCTGCCCCATGTTCCATGTCGAAGTGTCCCTGAGCAAGACACCTAACCCCTAATTGCTCCCTGGGCAAAAATGTGAAAAAAGCCATGGGTTTAAAGTGTAATGTAAAAGCGTCTGCTAAATGACCTGTAATGTAACTTGTTATTGGTGTATTATGGTGTATTTGTATTCATATCAATTGTTATATAAGACAAAAAAACCTCACAACAACCACAGAGGCTCTCACGTGAACCTGCAGGGATCACAACAGATCAATGTTATGTGGCTATTGATACGACCTCTGACCTTTATGGCGCCTGAAGGTACAAACTGTTCGTGTGCAGGTTAAAGTGCTTCAGGCAGACAGGTACCTGTCTCTCTCTCTCACTCTCTCTTTCTGTGTTTCGGCCCCTTTTGCAGCAGTTTAATCTCCTTCCGTCATCTGAGTGACGCAAGCGCCTCATCAGCAACAAAAGCTTCAACAACATGTTTTCTCTCCGTGTTGGACTTTAAAACTTCTTTGTTTTGCAAAGTGCTGGAATCGATGTCCACATCTCTAGAGCTCTGATCAATGCAGAACAACATTCAATTAAATGAATTACATTTGTTCAAAAGAAAAGTTATTTACAATCCCCACATACCAATGAATGCAAAGAAAATGGACAAATGATGAGATCTAACTTAGGTGAAAGTATACGTTAAATATGCTGTTAGTGTCAAATATCGTATCAATATGTTTTAATCAAATAGTCCGTCAACATTAGATGTTTCTTCATGTCCGAAGTAAATAAATATGCTTTTTTAAACGCAACGGAACTAAAAGCCTCACAAATGTGGAATAAAAAGTATATAGTAGTATTAAATGGAAATATTCAGTACCAGTAGCTCAAAACTGACCGTAACTTAGTTACATTCCAAAAACTTCATGTCATTTTAGTGCGCTGTTCAGATCATTTCTAAAATATAAAATTGAGTCCCGGCGGGTTCGGGTCTTACTTCCCTTCCTTCAGCACCTTTTTTGGCTTCTGGTTCTGTTCGTCTTCCTCAGATGAGTTTATGTAACAAAGGAATGTTTCAGAAAAAGACTTTTGAGGTCAAACATGAGACGCAGACGGGTTTAACCGAGACCAAAGAGGGTGAGGGACAAATGGAGGGAGAATTTTGTTTTAACTCACTTCAGGTGTATTCAAAATGTATTCTTTTTTAAACTGGAACATATTTAACTTGCTTTATTAAGACTTAAATATGTTTTGATGTGTCTGTGACAAAGAAGGCTGAATTTATACTTCCATAAAACATTCATGATTCATGTCGGTAGTTGTTTTATAATGTTTGACATCTGGCTGCTAATAAACTTAGTTTGGGGTTTGTGGCAAATCTCCTCAAAATGTGTTTTCTATGAGTTAAGTTTCACCAAAGGACCTGGTGTGCTGTGTCTCAATTGGGGGATGGCAATTTGATTTGGTACATTGTTCTTGTGGACTACAAACTAAAGGAGGCGCTTCATTACTCACGTTGTGACCTCGTCGTGTGGAAGCTGGGTCAACAGTGGCTCAACTACAAACCTTTGCTCCATTAACCCGAAATGGATCCAGCTGTTCTCTTTTTCTCATTTATAGATGTGCAAATGAATTTGCTTGATCTGTTTGACTAGAGCAGTTAAATGTATTCAGTTTGTTAATCATTCATTTTAATTTGTTAATTTTTTTTCATTTGTTGAGTTTGTTTTATTTGTTGTTTATTCACAGAAAGAAATACAGTCTTTATATATGTCACTGTTGTTATAATTTCAGCTGCCTATGAGTAACCCTGGAAAGAAGGTTATGTACATGTTATTTTTTCTGTTTTATTTAATTTCTGTTTTTCTATTTAGTTTGAATATGTATATACATATAAACTATATTTAATGTTTTATTTCTTTTTCTTTTTGAATCAGTACTGTAATTGGAGGTCATCCACCGCACAAACAGCAGCTGTGGTAACAATGAGACAATGAAAAAAGTTGATGATAATATTTTAACAGGGTTATACTTTTTATATATATACACACAAACAAACCCTGTTAAAATATATATATATATATATATATATATATATATATATATATATATATATATATACATATATATGTATGTATATATATATATGATAATATTTTAACAGGGTTTGGGTATATATATATATGTATATGTAGCGATCGAACCGCCAAGCAGCCCGCTCAGTTCAAATGAATCCAAGCACACGATTGGTCAATCGTTCCCCCGCAGGATAGAAGGAGAGTCATGATTGGTTTACCGCTCGCCGTCGCTCTGCACGAGGGGAAGGCGGGACCATAGACCGTATGGGCGGGGCCGAGTGGAGCCCATCAATGGGCGGCCTCGGCAATTGGTCAGTAGTAAAATGACGTTCATTTTGCCGGCATGACAGCCAATGATGTCAAGCGACCGCGCTATTCCGAGAAGGGGCGAGAACCTCTACAGAATTTTCTAGTAGCCGGCGTTTCTTCAGCATACCGGCATTTCACCGTCACCCCGTGGAGGAGAACTACAGCGGTGTGCTATTTATTTATTAATCGTCTCTTTCGCTTCCCCGGAGTCAAACATGCTCGGCTTGTGCCTTTACGTCCCCGTGTCCAACTCGGACCCGGTGGAGGTTGAATATTTCGAGTCTAACGGACTTCCGTCGGAGCTGAAGACTCTCTTCAACAGGCTCAGCGTGTTCCTGCCGTCTCAAGAGTTCTCCGCCTACCAGAGGTGGCGAAAGGTGAGCTTTATATCCCTTTATATGTTAACACGTCTGTTGAGCAGCGCCCGTCACCGGCTCTTTTAATGGTGTTGGTAATTTCTTTCTATCTGGGCGCCGGGGGTTAGCATGAGGGGGTCATAGCATCGAGCTAGCGAAAAGCCTCACGGCTAGGCCCGAAAAACTCACCGGCTTCCAGAGTCGCCACGAAAGCGTTTTAGAATTTTCTGTGAAACTCGTTGTTTATATTATAAAAAATGCGTTTTAAAGCTCACGTTTTATAATGACGGGTAAGCCGTGTTCGTCTTCCCAATGTATCTGCAGGGAATTTTAAAATAATTAACTTCGCTGAACCGGGCGCGAGAAGTGATTCATTCATTGGGGATTTTCCACCCTAAAAAGGAATCCAGGCAACGCCGGTGAACGAAGCTGAACCCGGGATCCGGCGTGAGAAACAGTCTCCTTTAACCGAATATTTATAGAGTTCTAACATTGATGTTTTCCTCTTTGGATGCTTAAAGTTACTTTTTTAATCGCACTAAAACTGTTATTGCACTGAGCCGAGCGTCACTGCTTTTTCCCCTCAAGGGTTGCCAATATAAAAGGAAAAGGAAATATTAACTAAACACTCAATCGCTTTTGCGGCCACTTTAATTTGCACATATCACCTCCCAGCAAACTGCCCCTCTGTGGGATTTAAAGAAAGGCAGAACAAGCAGACACACCAGGAGTTCCATTAAACTGGTCCCCTGTGGCCGCGCAGTAAGTCACATGCAGGTTTGTTGCAGGGAGCAGAAGGTCATTCCGGTGCGTCGGTCATACGGCTGCTGGATCGGGTATCGGCACCGGATTTAAACACGTTGGCGAGTCGTCCTGCAGATGAGGTTGAGGGTAGACCAGCGTGTCGCTGGGCCCCCTCCTGCTCTCAAGTTCAGGGCACGTGGACGTCATTCAAGAACGCAGAGAGCACTTCAGCTCATCGAGCCGGTCGTCGTGCTGTCGTTTGAGATGGTGAAACGCAAGCCGGTACACCCTTTTAAAAACCTCGGCAGTCAGACACGAAGCACTTTGCAGAACCTCATGTTCCCGCTGAACTGAAATGATTTATCCGTCAGCACAGATGGTCCCTTTGCATAGCTCTGCAGGGCGTCTGCCGCTGTGGTTCCTCCCTGAAACTATGACTAATGAAGGGGTGCGAATACATATTTGACAAACTCTACGCCATCCCCTCAATTCTTTCATAAAAAAGCACCAGGTCCAATGTAGTGTTCTTTCTTACAGAAAACCTTACCAAGGGAAGAAAACAACTCCGATGGACAGCTGGACTTCGAAGAGTTTGTTCACTATCTGCAAGACTACGAGAAGGACCTGAAGCTTGTGGTGCAAAGCCACAACCGGAGGAATGCAGGTATGAGAGCCGCGGCTTGTGGACGGATTTCATCTGTAGTTCACCTGCAGACTGAGATGCCTTTTTCTCACAATGTCTTTGTGCCCCTTTAAGGACACGTTGATCCAGAAGAGTTCCTGCAGTCCCTCAAGGACCTCGGTGTGCACATTTCCCCGCAGCATGCGAAGGACGCCCTTAACGGGTAAATTCATTCATCCGTTTTCATCCACCGTGTTCTTTGGCTGTTGAATTGAGGCGCCCGGTCTTACTTTTGTTTAATCTTTCTAAAGCATGGACAAGAATGGAATGATAACCATCAGCAGTAGCGACTGGTGCAAGTACCCCGTGGTGGAGAAGGCCGAGAACATTCCTGAGATCATCCTCTACTGGAAGCACTCCACGGTAAGTTCAGAAACCACTACTTCCCACAGACGTGGAGACGGCTGAGCTGGAACAATCGGGGCTCTTTCGCCGTCGAAACCAAAAGAACATCCATTCGTTTGACAAAACTAATGTGGAAAGAACCAGAAAACTACTCTGCTGTCGTCATGCAAAGGCCGTTACATAACATCTCCCGATGTCCTATTTTCACGTACAGACAACCGTATCAGGGCGTCCGATGATGCTCACGCCCAAGCTGGAACTAATCAAAGTTCAGAGGGAGTCGCACCGTCCTAACCGCAGAGAGGGGGGGAAAGTCACATTTCGATGGAAGGTTCCGCCAGTACAAGCTGTACGCCAGCAAGTGAGCTCCCATTAAGCTACCAGCAGAATTGGTCTCTTACGGAGGATTACCTCGCAGGGATTTGTCTCGCTGTTACGTAAAGGAGAGCGGGTGGAGAGAGTGACGTAGCGCCGTGTCCCCGCAGAGGGACGCTGGGACACGGCGCATGTTGATATCTCACGCCTGAGACTTTGACATGTTCTGAACCGGTGCTAAGAATAGAGCTGGACCTACCCGTCCGGGGGGGGCAAGCGGAACGCAGCCAAAACACTGAAACGTTAGCCGGTCGAGGTCATTTCAGTTTGCACGGAATCAAATGTTTAATGTGCGACTGCTGGATCGAAGCCCAAAGCCGGACCCCCCCCCCCCCCCTCAGAGTATAGCAATAAATGGGCTCAATAAATGTGTGTTATGGGGTAGAATCAAAAATAAAGTTAAATGAGCTTGAAGATACTGTAGACAGAAGGTCTACAGTCTTCTTTTGCCTTTAGCGCCTCATTAACATTGTGACTCACATTTCAAAGGCAGTTAAATGTCGACCTCTGGCTGCGTTTCCTGTGAAAACAGACCTGGTGCTGAGTGACAGGCGGGTTGAGGGTCACGACAATGCGTGAGAGGTTGTCACCTCCTCCGGTCTGTTGTCTGTACACATGTTCTTCTTCCGACGTACACCATTGTTATTGTAACACTCCCTCTGTACCCAATAATTCACATTTCTCTCTCGCTCTTCTCGGCAGATATTCGATGTGGGTGAGAACCTGATGGTGCCCGATGAGTTCACAGTAGAGGAGAAGCAGACGGGGATGTGGTGGAGGCACCTGGTCGCAGGCGGAGCAGCAGGAGCCGTTTCAAGGACCTTCACCGCTCCACTGGATCGCCTCAAAGTCATGATGCAGGTGAGAACAAACTCAGTCTGGTGGAAAGGACAAAGGTTTGAAGTTTCCTGGCATAGGAGGAGGAGTGGGGGGGGTTACTGGACCGCATGACTTGGAAGAGTTGTGCCAACCGTCTTACAGCGGAGGATTATCAGCTTGTGGCTGGTTCGACCCAGTTTGTCAGCTGTAAAGTGAATCAAGTTAAAACAAAAGAAACCGAATTGAGAGAAATGTAACTTCATCAGATTAAAGTTCTCCTTGAAGGGACACGGAAGCTTCTTTCATAACTTAAGGTACATATGTTAATGTTTAACAGAGGTGGGGTTAGAGTCCAGCCACTGATTAACTGACAGCCGGGCCGCTCCGCCGACCAATGACCGCGCGCATCGGGTTGTCACAGCCTCGTCTGTGTCAATGTGTCCGTCGTCACCGTGACGACGGTCCAGTGGAGCAGATTCAGGATCTGTGTCGACGTCCCCGACGTGCGTCAGTCGCTACGTGGAATGCTGACTTTGACCCCGAGCGATTAGGAAATGTATACTTTGGTTATTTAATTACGCTAACCCTTGTTAAGGGGTCAAGGGTCGCATCTTGACTCTTGGCCTAATTCACCACCGGCTTCATTACTTCGCCAGCCAGTTAATCAAATCAAGTCAATTCACTCTGATTAAGTTTAATGATTGTAACTAATCCCCTCAGGTGTACGGGACCCGAACCAACAACATGTGCATCATGACCGGGATGATGCAGATGATCAAAGAGGGCGGCATGAGGTCGCTATGGCGAGGCAACGGCGTGAACATCATCAAAATCGCCCCCGAGTCGGCCCTCAAGTTCATGGCGTACGAGCAGGTGCGACTAGCAGCTCAACTCGAGGGTGCCGGCGATGCTGCTTTTTAGATCGAGTGGATTAACGGGTTTATTCTTCTCTCAAACGGTTTCCTCCAGATTAAGCAGCTAATCGGCAGCGATAAAGCGAGTCTGAACATCGCCGAGCGGTTTGTGGCGGGTTCCCTGGCGGGAGTCATCGCCCAGAGCATAATCTACCCCATGGAGGTGATCACCTGCTTCACAAACCACAACAGGAAAGCTTCTCAATGGAGGAGCTCTGCGGAGCTCAGTGGAACTGATATATTTCTGACCCCCTCCAGGTCCTGAAAACGCGCCTCGCCCTGAGGACCACCGGTCAGTACTCGGGCATCTCGGACTGCGCCAAGCACATCTTCAGGAGAGAAGGACTCCGGGCGTTTTACAAAGGCTACGTCCCCAACATGCTGGGCATCGTCCCCTACGCGGGCATCGACCTGGCCGTGTACGAGGTGAGCGCCGGGCCGCTTTTTAAAACCTCAGTGGGTGCATAGCGACAATCTCAAATGACGTAATACTGATATCCCCCCCACACCCACCCAGACGCTGAGGAACGACTACCTGCAGCGCTACGGCACCAGCGGCGCCGACCCAGGCGTGGTGGTCCTGCTGGCCTGCGGCACCGTGTCCAGCACCTGCGGTCAGCTGGCCAGCTACCCTCTGGCTCTGGTCCGCACCCGCATGCAGGCACAAGGTGAGCCGCAGGGACGGTTCTTAGAAAGCAGCGGCGCCTCAAAGGGCCACGCCGGCTTTATGCTTCTGTGGAAAAGGGGACGTTCGCGGCAGGAGACTCGAGTCATTGAGGTGGACAATTATGACCGGGTTTATGTTTAACAAAGACGATGCCACGAAAAGGGCAGAACTTTTCATTCTGCGAATATAGATTTATGGAATTCATTGTTTGACTTATTCAGAAAAGTGACAAAAAAACTAAAATATTAAATTGTATTTGATAATCAAATTACAAGAAAAGTCATCGTCATTTATGCTTGAAGAAAGAGCTCTGAGATAAGCTTCTCATTTTGTTTGTGTAACCGGATTCATTTTGTTTTCCTCTACAGCCGCGGTGGAGGGCAGCCAGCAGATGACCATGTCGGGCCTCTTCAGGCAGATCTTGCAGAGCGAGGGTCCCACGGGGCTCTACAGGGGCCTGGCCCCCAACTTCCTCAAGGTCATCCCCGCCGTCAGCATCAGCTACGTGGTGTACGAGCACCTCAAGAAGCAGCTGGGCGTGACATCGCGCTAAAGCTCCTCCCTCCCAGGGCTCATGGAAGGGAATCCCAGGGCGCCTGGGGGTCCGTGCAGCGATCTCATTCTGTGAATGTCGGCTGACGAAACACGAGACTGCGTTTAAAGGCCGAGGTGGAGGGTTTGATCTCTGCGAGCTCAGGTTGAGCGTGACTGCTGCTATTTATGGTGTTTGTTTAAAAAGAGGATGTGAGTGACTTGTTCATCGGGGACCACGTGTGTGATTCTGTCGACGGCTAAAGTTTAGATTTCATCATGTGAAATAGTTGTTGTTGTTGTTTTTTTAAGATGCGTCCCCATCAATCGTGTTGCGCAACTCCTGCGCAAAGTTTTATTAAACAGGTCCGCCTGTGAAGTTATTGTGTCTCTACATGAGAGGATTTTGCACATGAGAGTTTGATCTTTCTCTCTCACCCCCCTCCCCCCTCCCTCCCCCGTTGACCCGAACAATCGAATGGATGGCAGAATTTCTGAGTATTTATTTCAATTTGTTCTGTATTTATTTTTACTGTCAAAGAGGTTCAATACTGTGAAAAGCCAAATGTGTGTGATTTGATTCAAAACAATGCAGTTCTTGTATCCGGGGGGGGGGGAGCGCCAGGTTACGGCCTTATTGATGTTTGGCGTTGAAACACTAAAAGACATGTGGGGAGATGTTGAGAGTTTGGAACTTGTACTTTGAGTCCTTGTGGTTTTGTTTTGAGGGACGGATCATTTGTTGTGCATGTGTGTTCTTCTCTTACGGTAAAAAGTGTCTTAATGTTCACCTCAGGTTTCAGAGTAAATGTTTTCAATTCACATTTTTCCGTTCACAACATTTATACTTGGAAAACGATGGGCGACTTGATGCACTTTAATCGACGCTGGAAGGGCTTCTGCTTGAATGTCAGATCAATCAGGTATTAAGAGTTAATTCTTTTGTAAAGAATACGTTTTAGTCTTGTTTTAATGGACCATATTGATGCAAATAAATCCAAATTCTTGTAATTCTGTGTCTGTCCCTTTTGGTCTGAATTGTGTGTGTGTGTGTATGTATGAGAGAGAGGATATATGAACTGTTCCTTCACAATACTAGATCTCTGGGATGAACATTTACAAATACATTTGACTTCTCTTTGCGTAAATCTAGTGATAATCTGCTAGCGAGTAACAGCTCGCCACTCAAGTGTCTCATTCGACGCTGTTTTTTGTTTATGACAACTTTCAAGTAAAGATATAACTGACATTTAGCTGCATTTGAATTATGTTCTGATTGCTGTAGCATTTTTTTGTTAAACAATGGATTATGCTGAGTAGTAAACAGTTATATGACATTAAATGTCGGAGCTTGAAAGGCATTTAAGATTAATTGCACATTTGGGGTATTTGTACTGTTTTGTTTGTATTTCTATGCTACTTCAAACCTAACTATTTAGAGGTAAATCAAGAATTTACGATTCTAATGATTATTCAAACATTTTTCATTTCGTACTACTGGTTTGATTTTTCAATTCGCCTCTTTTGAGCTGCGCGGGTTCCCGTCGCACAACAAGGAAGCGCCCCATCAGGGCGGAAGAAAGGCCTTTGTGACTCTACACGGGGACTTAAATATAAGCATTTAAATATCAACTGATATTTCCAACATAACCAAAATGCATTTGGTCTTTATGTTATTGGTTTTATCGTCATAACACCGCTGTGGTGTGATGTCACTAGCGAGGCTAGCTAGTTAGCAACGGTGCTAACGGAAGACGTTGAAAATGGTTCAGAACATGTTTCGCAGCGGGTTTCTGGTTCGGGCCTCGCACACCCTGCTCACCTGGGTCATAACCCTCATTCTGTTCCTGCATGACACCGGTGAGTCCCCCTCGTCACCGGTAACGTACCGGGGCTGCAGGTCACGTGACCGACGCTCAGGCGTCTCCTCCGATGTGTTCAGGGTTCAACAAAGTGAGAATATCTAAGTTTGATTAAAGCAAAAGCACTCCCAATTGCTTAAAATACATTTCTGTAAATAATTGAACTAAATACATTCATTTCACCGTAACTTAAAACTACTTAACTAGTAGTTAACTCGTTTCAGTTTTACCGGTAGAAACTGTCCTGTAAATTAATTCATACCAAAGGTGTCATATTATAGAATCTTTACAGCTTTACAAACTACAGCCGAAAAGAAACTGGCACGAAACAAAACTACTTTATTATTTGTTTTTACATTTTTCAGAATAAAACCCTTGCATATGATTATATATGACAGCTCCTTGTCCTGGTGTTTGGTGGTTGTAGTGTTATAACCTGTGTGTGTGTGTGTGTAGATCTGCGGCGGTGTGAGGAGCGGGGAGAGCTGCTGCTGCCGGTTCTCTTCTTCCTCCTGGTCATGCTGTCGGTGCTCTTCTACTTTGCCGTTTCCTTGATGGACCCTGGCTTCGTTCTCTCCGACAGCACCAAGGTGAGAAGAACTTCACTGCACAAACCAAGGCGGTTTAGAGATGCGTGGTTCTGTTTGTCGCCCCGTTGCTGTTCAGCAGGTGAGTCCCAGTCCTCAGACGCTGGAGCTTCTCCCCCCCAAAAAGCCTCTTTGTGCTTTCAGCCGCGCGCTGCTGTCAAAGCGACGCCACATCTTGTTCTCGTGTCACGCGTTCTAAAGTCACGTTGCAGCTCGGCGGGAGGAGCTGACCTACAAACGTGCAGCGTGCTGTTGCATCGATTGACTTCATGTGATGCGCGGATCGCGTGAAGGTCACGCTGCGTATCTGACCCTCGACGCTCTGTGCTGCGTTCAGGCTTCCGGTGAGGAGGAGTCCATGATTCCTCAGTCCTCGACCCCTCGGCCGCGGCGCTGTGGATACTGCCTGCTGCAGGTAACCGGCCGCCAACAAGTCTGAAATCTAACACAAGTTGGTCGTTCAATCGTCTTTGTTGTAATAATCTTTGGCGACATCTAGATGTGACAACAAGGAAAATTGAGTTCAATCAAAAGAATATATATTGCATATATCCATTAACTCTGCTTTGACCTCCCTCCCCCTCCCCCGGATCCCTCCTCCTCCAAGCAGCAGCCAATGAGAGCGAAGCACTGTCAGACGTGTCAGCGCTGCGTGCGGCGCTTCGACCACCACTGCCCCTGGATGGAGAACTGCGTGGGCGAGCGGAACCACCGCTGGTTCCTCGTGTACCTGCTGGTGCAGCTGCTGGCGCTGCTGTGGGCGCTGCGCGTCGCCCTGTGAGTCACGTGGTCACGCGCTGACATTGTGTCATCTGTTGTTGTGTGTATGAACCAGAAGAAGCTGGCTGTCCAAACGAGTGCTCAGAGGCCCCCGTGGGGAGGACAACGTGTACGATTATCAACAGTCATCTGAAGGGCGTCTTAATCCTTGTTCGTAATCATGAGATGTCTCCTCCAGCTCGGGCCTCGCCCCCGGCGCCTCCTGGGACCTCTGGCTCCGGGCTAACTGCTTCCTGCTGGCGGCGCTGGCCGTCCTCGGCGTCTTCTCCGCGGTGGTGCTGCTTCTGCTGGGCGTCCACCTCTACCTGGCCTCCGTCAACTGCACCACCTGGGAGTTCGTGTCGCGCCACCGCGTCTCCTACCTGAAGAACCGCGCGGACGAGCGCAGCCCGTTTGACCGCGGGCTGCTCTGCAACCTGTGGGACTTCTTCTGCGCGTGCGGGGCGGCGGCGCGGGACGCCGGCGTGCCCAACTCCGTCTGAAGACCAGATTTATTATACCGGACCCCGACGCCGCTTCATCCCACAGGAAAAGAGGTTTAGAAGGACGTTGGTGGTCCTCAGAGGACGAACCAGAGGGGCTTTTGTTTGGGCCTGGCACCAAATTAAGTTTTTTTTTGTTTTGTTTTTCAAGTTGATTCCGTTAGAAGACCAAGATTAAAAAAAGGTCAACAGTATTTATTCAACGGAGAACTTCTTGAACCGCTGGTGATTTCCTCCCTTCAGTATTTGCAGATCACAATAGTTCACAACATCCATATTATAGCCTATTTAATTTAGTCATCTAAGAGAATCAACATCAGCTCAGCTGTTGTTTTCACTGGCTGATGAGGAGCTGAAGTCGTTGCATTGGGAACCAGTAATTGGACCGGGCAGAACTCGGTCTAGTTCCTGTTGTAGAACAACGACCACAGAGAAGTAGCTCATTCAAATGTACTTCAAACTATCTGAGCTGCTGAACTCTCGTCCTAGCGTATCTGTTAGCAGCAACCGGAGACCCTTTTCCATGAGGTGACATTTAAATCACAGAAATGTATTTTATCTTAAAAACTGTATTTTCAGGCAGTTTTGTTGAAAGAATTTAAGATAAGAAGATAAAACGGCTGCGTCTTTCTCTCTCAGGTGTGAGTCACCTTCTCCTCTGTTGCCTCGTGAGAGCAGTGACCTCCACATTATAACACTAAGGGCCTTTATGTCTTTTGTATTATTGAATTTGATCGGTGATACATTTTTAAAAATGTTTAGAATAATCTTCTCAGCAATTATTTTACAACTCTTTTGTTTACTGTGTTTTTTCACTTTGTATTTATTGACATTAAAACAGTGATGATATGCACGTTGTTCTTCTGTACAGATGTTCCTCCTCTGGATGCTTCACACACATAATTACAGTACTGACACACAAGTAACATGTAATATTCAGCAGCATAAACTCAAAGTGCTACAGGAGCTAAATCCCCACTGCCCCTTTTATTCATAAAGCCTCCACCCACACAGGTGGAGGGTTCAGTGCCTTGCTCAGGGACACTTCAGCACAATACAATGCTCACTTTTTAACCTTTTACCTTCAGCCTATTTCTTTAAAGAGCAGTTTAACACCAAGACACACCTTGAAAAAACTCAAATCAGAGCTCTTGATCAGACGAGGACCTCATGAAGCGCCATGTGGTAAAGCTGCATTCTGTGTAGTGACCAGCAGGGGGCGACTCCTCTGGTCCCATAGAAGTCTATGCGAAAATGACTTTACAACGAATCCAAACCAAAAACACACACACTCAGATCAGAGCGCCTCAGCCACTGTGGGATCTCACCTCAGACTCCAGAGTCCTTGGCAGTCGGTCAGGAGGTTGTAAACACTTGGAAGCGCTGCATTGCACTTTGGGGGCGTTGCATTGCACTTTGGGGGCGTTGCAGTGCACTTTGGGGGCGTTGCATTGTACTTTGGGGGCGTTGTATTGTACATTGGGGGCGTGACATTGTAGTTTGTGGGCGGGGTATATACAAGAAGATGTTACAGATTTCTTTTAGATCTACTCAATATTTCTCTTAAAAAAATGAACTGCTGTGAACAATAAACCGTGGACTGGGGTGATTAATAGAATGATTAAATGACTCTACAAGGTGGATTTGGTGTTAAGTTGCTCTGTTAAAGTGCTCTCCATGCTCCTTCCATTATGAGTTTAAAACGTAATGGAAGGAAATACTTGATCATCTTCCTCTTCTTCTTGTGTTGACATCATAAAGCTTTAGTATAACAGAATATGATTTGCTAAATACAAAATACAGCTATTTGTCTCTATTATGGCTATGCTAGATTTTCTATGGCTTCTCTTTTTGTATATATATATATATATGTATGTATCTCATGCATGTCCACAGAGAGCAGCTGGCCGAGTGTCGACTGATCACATCAGACTTTAAGAATCAAGGCTCGTCCCCATGAAGCGGGTTAGCTTCTCGTTAGCTTGGTGTGGTCAAGGCAGTGGGCGGAGCCTGTCACAGTGATGCATAGAGGCGGCAGCACAAACGGTACCTAAGGACACGTATCCTAAAACAAGTGTAGAATGAGCAAAAGGCCACGAAGCAAGCTGAACGTCCGCGGCACTCAGGCTGCTCGAACAAGTCCATTCAACACGTGTTTTACTATGTTTTTAACTTTAAAAGTCCATCCAGTAGATAATCGGTCAGTGACTTTAGCTCGCTGACCAGAGCTCATGATTACATTCTCCCCAGAGAGCACATCCCTTCTGCTCGGGACGCCGCCTGGTTTGGTTGTTCGCCGATCGGCTGCTGACCGGTGGGACCATTCACGCATCGTCTGCAGAGCGCTGATCCAACAGGAAGTACTCAAAGTGATGCTTTCAAGACCAGCTGTGAAGAAATGAGTCCTCGTGAGGCTCGGAGTTTGAGTTTTAGAATTCACGGCGTTCTCACAGCTTTAGTTCTGCTCTAGTTTTTAATGGAATACGTTGACAAAGTGGGACTTTGTGAGGAGATAATGTTGCATCTCCTTTGTCTGTTCACACATGGACCTACCGTCGGCAGTCCACTAGCTTAGCTTAGCATAAAGTCTGGAAATGGGGGAAACCGCTAGCGGGGGCTAGCTAACTGGCTAAGCTAACCAGTAGCCTTGTGTTTACCGGCATCACTTCTCATCTAACTCTCTGCACAGGACGATTAATGACACTCAGAACCTTCGTTTAGTCTATAGACTCCAAAAGTTATAATAGAGTGACGTTCAAAAGAAGTTTAAATGTGTCACACTCCTGGTTGCAATTAGGTTCTTGATCTGGGACTTTAATTGGTCGGCGATTAGATGCCGATTGATTAATTAATACGTCAACATACCAAACTTGTAAATGTTGTGAATTAAATAAACTGATTAAAGGATACTTGAAATATGGTTCTCCAAAACGAAACCTCTCTTCCCGCTCTGGTCCCCCCCCCCCCCCCCCCAAACCCCTTCAGCCGTGCACGGCGCAGAAGTCAAAGTCGGCGAAGGCCCCCTGCTGCTCGGCGGAGAGGACGAAGGGCTTGGCGGGCGGCGTCATGACGGGCTGCAGGCGCGTGAACTCGCTGTCGAAGTTGCCGACGTCCACAGACTCCTTGATGGACGGCAGGAAGGGCGGAGTCACCTTCTTGGCCAGCAGCGCCTCCCAGTCGATGCTCTGCAGGGCGGAGGCGAGATGATGAGAACGTTTCTATGCTTTTACTCAGAGCTTGGACGTTAAACATTTATTTAAAGTCTGAATAAAGTTATTGACCTCAAAGAATTTCTCCCCTTTGAGCTCGGCGGCGTCTCTCTCTCCGGCTCCGAGTCTCTTCAGAGGATTCTTCTTAAACAGCTGCAGGTTAATAAATGTGTGACGTTGAAATGAAGGAGTCAAAGCAGTAATCACAGGCCCACTGAGCTCCATGATGACGTCATTACGTCAAACACATTCGACACGGAAACGTTTTATTTCATATTCCAACTGAAGCCGGTTACAACTATGTCAAATAATGTCAGCATTATTTCGTGATGGTTTTTACTTTCTGGATGATGCAGACGACGTCGGGGGGGAGAGAGCCGGGATACTGCACGTCGTCGTTGACGATGCTGTCGAACACCTCCTCCTCGTCCTCGCCGGGGAACGGAGACTAGAAGAGAGGCGAGGGGGGGGGTCAGGGAACGGACTGACTCGACTCAAGCGAAAGGAACACCGAGGGTCGCCAACAACCTCTCCTATCAGCATCTCAAAGATGAGGACCCCCATCCCCCACCAGTCCACCGCTCGGGTGTAGTCGTCGTCCGTCAGGACCTCGGGAGCCAGAAACTCTGGAGTGCCGCAGAAGGTGGAGGTCCGGTCTCCGTGACCCATCCCTGCAGAAGGGGTGCCAGGAGAGTCATCGCGCGTCGACCCGGGAGGAGGTCTGAGTGAGGCTCAGTGGGTGATAACATGAGCGCGATCGTTGAATTGTGTCATAAAGCCTCAGAGAACGAATCCCAACACAGGAAGTAGAAGCTGAATGAACGCACCTTCTTTACAAAGCCCAAAGTCTGTGATCTTTATGAATCCGTCTGCATCCATCAGCAGGTTGTCCAGCTTCAGGTCTCTAAAGACACACAGACATTTTAGCGCCGAGGTGAAGCTCAGCGACTTCTGCAGAACGCTGCGACTCACCGATAGATGATTTTATTCAGGTGGAGGAACTCTAAACCCAGCAGGACACACGCCGAGTAGAACCTGCAAGCAGGTTTTCACCTTGTTATTGGTCTTCATTATATCACCACACTGTGTTTTCATGTACGGTTCAAGGGATTTACTTTAGTCTTATTACATAAAAAAAAGAAATGCAAGCATTGCGAACATCAAGAAACATAAATACCAAATAGAAGAAAGGTCCAGCTTAAATATTAAAACATAATTTGAAAGATATGAACAATATATCTTAATTTTAGAGGTTCAATACAAAGTATTTAAATAATTTAAATACTCTGTAGAAGAAAAATTTAACTACAATTCTTGGTGAAAAAGTACTACAATGTAAAGGTTTAGCTGCATTAAAATATACTTAATATACATGTATACAAAAGTTACAATATTAAAAGTGATCATCATGCACAATGGACCATTTAAGAATCTTATCTTATATATTAGATTATTTGATATGAATTTTAGCTCATTACTTTATAAAATGCTGGGCATCTTAATATAATAATAATAAAACATTATAATTTATTATCTGATTTTTTTTGCAGAAATAATCAAAATATGGAGATGGACTAATGTCTAAAAAATGAACTGGAGAAAAGAGAACAATATTTAGCTCCAAATTAGTAACTAAAAGTTGTTCTACGAGGGGCTTTTATTTTGTGGGCTTGTGTCGCCCCCTGTGGACTAAAGCGGTAGTGTCTCCAAGCAACAGGGTCTCTTTAGAAACCCTCTCAGTCCTGGTTCTGGTTCTCCTGGTTTACTTATAAAGATCCTTTAGAAGCATCAGTATTAAATCAAAACCGTTTAACAGCCAGTTAAAAGTTCCTCACAGGACGTTTAAATTCGGAACTTCAGTTAAACGCCTGTGGACCAACGAGGACGCACCGGGTCTGGGCCTCGCTGAAGACGTGGTTGTGGATGTGGATCATGAGGTCTCCTCCGGGCAGGTACTCCATGACGAAGCAGACGTGGTCGCTGGTCTGGAAGCAGCCGTGCAGGCTCACCAGGAACGGGTGTCTGGACGCGTTGATCATCTCGAAGATCCTCTTCTCGCTCATCAGGCTGCAGAAGGAAAGTCCGCTTCAGACCAGAAATACTGCTTCACTTTCAGCTTAAAGCGTGAATGAGGAATCCAATAGATTTTCATGCTGTTCAATGCAGTTTGAAAAGTCGACTAATAATCAAATCTAAAGGTCCACAGTGAAGCATTTAGGGTTCTGTTACTAACTGTCTGAACACTGTGTAATACTTATACGCAGGCGTCAATTGAAGGACTGTGTCTCGTCCCCTCCGCTCACCTGTCCACCTCATCGCGGGTCACGATGTCTCTCTTCTTCAAGGCTTTGATGGCGTAAAGTTTTTCTGTCTTCTTGAACTCGGCCAGCAGCACCTGAACAGGAAGCAAAGCAAACGGCTGAAGACGACAAACACGACAAGAAGACGATTAAAGAACACGCTGAACTTCTTACCTTCCCAAAGTGGCCTCTGCCCAGCACAGAGATGTATTTGAAATCTTCCTTCTGCATCCTTGTGGGGGGGGAATAAATGAAGCGTCACTCGTTACTTCTTTAACTTTCACAGTACAATAGATGAATACCTGTGTACATGTGTAGTTGTGTACTTTAGAGCAGATGCAGGCGGGTCTTCACTTCCTTCTGTGTCGTTTATGGGCGACTGTGAATGGAGACAAAGTTTAAAACAGTTTACTGTGCAGCAGGAGGCGAAAAACACAAAAAACATCTTCTGCTTCTCTATTTATGCTTCTGCATGCTTCTACTCCGCTGCGTCTTATGGGGAACTATTTTACTGTTACTCCACAACACGCATCTGCTGAACCGTGTGATTATAATAATAACATTTAGCTGTGCTGTCGTATATTATATATTTATCTGGATAAAAGCATTAAATCAGTACCAGTATTTGGGGCGCGGTGGACGTTGGCGATGTTTGGCGCGTTGCGGGGAGGTCGAGGGCGTCGTCCTCCTCAGGAGGTGGGCGATCCTCAGGGAACCCGACTGGGGTCTCTGGAGCTCCGCTGCTGGAGAACGAAGACGAAAAAAGAAGCAAACAAAAAATGGTGTATCAATATACATATTGAATTAAATGTTTGCGAACACTTAATTTACTCATTTTAGGTACTTGTACTTACATTACACATTTCAGACAGAAACATTCTTCTGTCTTACTTCCCTACATTTATCTGACAGCTTTAGTTACTTTAATACAGAAGAACTAAAAATAAGATCTTTTTATATTAAATAAACTGCAAAACGATTTATAAGAGAGCAGCTGAAAAAAACAATCAATTAGTTTTATTTGAAACTATTTCCAATGATTTATGTGATTTTTCACTTGTGAGAAGAAAATGTGATTGTTGCAGACGTAATAATGTTAATGTTTTAGAAATAATGTTATAATTTCCCAATATGGTTATAAACTAAATCAATTAATGGAGAAAATAATAAACAGATTCCCTCAGGGTTAAAACAATCATTAGTGGTTAAAAAACGAGTGTCTCTGACCTTTGAACTGGGGCGGTGCGTTCAGGCTCCGCCTCCGCGGGACGTTGTTCGTGGTCGGCCGACGGGTCGGGGGTGGCGTAGAGGGAGGAGCTGAAGGTGGTGAAGGAGCCGTAGCGAGGAAGGACGCTCATCATCAGGTGGCCCCACGTGGCAAAGTTCATGTTCATCTGGGCCGCTCGGAGGAAGTTCTTCCCTGGGGGGGGGGGAGGTGGAGGAGGGGTGGAGGTTTGGGGTTACACATGGAGAAACAGAAGCACGGACACAAAGTGTTTGTTTGTCGCGTTACCTTTCTCCTTGGTGAAGATGCATCGCTGACGTCTCAGTTTCGGCTGCCTTTCTACGACGGCGTCGACGAATCGAAGCTGAGAAATCCACGATAAAAAGTATTTATGTTTTAGTTTGGACGTTGTGTTTATACACGGATGCACAAGTTGTGTTTTTCTGACTTTAGCCATAGTTCTCCTCCACAGGTTGGTTGCATTCTACGTCTTCACCACTAGGTGTCACATACATCCTGCACACTGTCCCTTTAAGAAGAGTTAAACGTGGCAAAACAAAGCTTTTTTTATTTATAAGTTATTAATATGCTATATGTTATATTTTATAACAAAACCATTTTACTCATATATATATATATAGTTCAATTATCATGTTTATAATTTTTATCTGTATATTGTTTGTCTTTTAAGTCTATTTCGTCAGGTTCAAAGTTAAATATTTGTGAAAACGGGCTTTTTCATTAATACTTAATCTTGATGAAAACAAAATTTCACAAACTCAATTTAGGGTATTTCGTCATGTGAAACATTATCAATACATAATAAATAAATATATTTATCACAATAGCTTCTGGTGGTCCACAGGGTGATATTAAACAATAAATGAAACATTTCTCCCTTGAAGAACGTTTGTAACCATTTCCCCCTCTGGTACCTCCGCGTAGACGAGGCCCTGGGGCTCCAGCCTGATCCCCCGGCTGGGGCCCAGGTGGTCCGTCATCTCCTCCAGCCGCAGGGACCTCACCGCGCACATGGCCCCCCGATGCCGCCAGAACAGCGCGACCTCCAGCTCCCGAGCCTAATCAACGAACACCAATTAAAAACCGGTAAGAGTTGTTGTTTCCCTGTTTATTTAACTGAGCATCGCTGTTAGATGTCTCCAAGTTGTTTTTGTAACCACTACATTAAATGATGAGATTAGGTGAACTGCAGGTATTTCACATCTCAATAAAGTTACCTAGTAACAAAAAATAAAAATTTATAATCTCAAAATAATTCATTTGTAATGATTCTGTAAACTCAAAAGCTTGATTTTAAAATAAGAACATAGTGTCTGAAAATAGGGACTTAAATAGGTTAATTGATACACACACTTGCACTACACCCTCCGGTCCAGGGGGGGGGCAGTACGCACCGTCACTGGCCCGCCATTAAACTAACAGAAGAAGAAGAACAGTGGCGGACATCGCAGCCTCAATACTCCCGATTACAAAGCAGAAGAAGAGTCACCAGAACGGTTCTGTTCGGCAGCGTCCTCCTTAATGAGACGTCCGCCGTGATTATAACTCACATGCATGTACATGTATCGATTATCCTCCGCGCACTCGAGTATCATTGAACGGCGCGAAGTAGAAAAAGGGGCCGGAAGTGACGTCAGAAGGCAAACGAGCTCCGGCCAATCACAGCGAGGCAAGAGGCCAAACCGAAAAAGTTGCGCGCGACTGACTTTCTGGACGACACGCACTTCGTGAGAGGCGCTGCTGCACGCGCACGCGCCCGCGCCCCTTCACGTGTCGAAGCAGAGCAGAGACCTTCAATCTTCACACCTGTCCAGAGCACCAACGATGGGTGCACGTCCCGTGTAATGCGTTAAAGTACGACAGGTACTTTTCTACTCTGTCACATCTTTTGTTCAGCATTTGTTCGACGTATTTAGTTTCTCCAACTTTTTGCAGATAAAAACCTCTAAAATGTGATTTTCATGGCCTGATGGTTCGTACAAAAGTTCCAATGACAAATAAACTATTTAGTAAATTTTCCAAAACAACAAACAAGTTGAAGATCTCTTCTGCTCTGCTTTAATGACTCACCCGCTCCAGCTGGATGCAGAAGGTCTGATCCCAGGTCAGCCTGCTGACGGCAGCCCAGCGCGTCCGACCGACCACCCGGCCGTCCAGCCGGAGCACCGCACCCACCTCCTCTGATGGGACGAAGGAGGACATAGAAAAAGACATCCCATCCCTGCTGTGACACACAAAGCCTTTCTGAGGCTGATCAACTCCAGAAAGTGAGATGTAAAGATGTTTTGTGTCTCTTTGTGTTTCTCTTTCTTTCTTTCTCTGTCGTCATTTTGTGTCTATTTGTAGTCATGTTATGTCTATTTGTAGTCATGTTATGTCTATTTGTAGTCATTTTGTCTATTTGTAGTCACTTTGTCTCTTTGTAGTCACTTTGTGTCTATTTGTAGTCATTTTATGTCTCTTTGTAGTCATTTTGTCTGTTTGTAGTCACTTTGTGTCTCTTTGTAGTCATTTTATGTCTCTTTGTAGTTATTTTATGTCTCTTTGTAGTCATTTTATGTCTCTTTGTAGTCATTTTGTGTCTCTGTAGTTGCTTTTCCTCTTTACATATTTGTAAGTCCAACCAATAAAACTCCACCTGATCCACCTGATGAATGTAAATCAAATACTGACTTTTACTTTTTAATCTGGTTTGATCTCCACCATCTGCTGGGAAAAACGTCTCTTTGAACAAAGCAAACTGGAATAAAACCTTTGTTTGTCTCCATGAATAAAGCGTCCTCCTTTCAACCTGCAAACTTAAACCACGTTCGCAATCTTCATCATACGTCTTCTCTGTTGGAGAGGAAATGTCGTGCCATTTAGAAAAGTCGACTCACGACATCACTGGCTGAAGATATAATGTAATAAAATGCTGATATTAGATTGACCTTTAGACAAGGATTTCATACTTTACAACACGCATGTTCCAGTACGAGGAAAAAAAGTTTCAATAAGCAAAACAACAAAGTGACGTCATACAAGTGAGTAAAGTAATGTAAAAAGGAGAGGATTGAAATCTCTATAAAAGTGGTCTGATATCTGCCGTTCACGAGCTCAACATCACATCTCATGATCACATTTCATTATTTCAGCCCTTTATAAAGGTATGTTTTTTTTTACAGGTTTCTATATAATTTTCTAAAAACTTTCAGGGATGTTTCCATAGAACAATTTAACATAACATATAACAACATAATTAAAAGTAAATCATTATTAATGCACTCATGTGTCATTAGACAACGATTCACATTATTGAAACATTTGAAGAACTAGCTCAACTATTATTAAGTATTATTATTATTATCAAGTATTATACATATTTAAAATGGAAGAGGTCGACGTACCGGAGTGTCCCTCGGCCCGGGGGGCTGCTGGACTCTCCTCAGAGGGACTCGGGGGGCTTTCCTGCTCCCAGCTGGTCAAAGGTTTCAGTAAATCTTCACATCCAAGAAGTCGGACTTCAAGTCTTCCTGAAACAATGATGAAGAAGATGTTTGAACTTGCTGCATGGATATTTAAAAATATCTCCTTTTATCAGTTATATGAAACCATTCATTTCTATTCAAGCTTAATTAGGCTTTATGGGGTCCCCTCTCATGGGGGGGCGCAGCGGTTTGACTGGAACCGTTCCTTTGTCGGCCTCAGCGAGTCTCCCGTCTTTAAGCTTCTGTCGGCGGCTTTCACGTCCTGGTTTCTCGCTGTTGTCCCTCAGCGTGAGGATTTGTCTCCCCGTTGCATCATCAAAGGCGACAGATTACATGTGATTATCCACCGGCAGATGTCAGCGCGCGGTCAAACCACGCACACGCGTGTATGGGGAGTCCTCACATTTAAATGATCCTCTTCAAAAAGGAAAATATCTCCAGCCATCATTTTTCACTTCATTTTAAAGAGGCTCTGTGACTCTGCAGGATCAATATACACAGTATGGCTACAAGCTGACACAAAACTACCACAAAGAGACACAACTCCATCGCACACATTACCAGGAGACTCACAATGACCACAAACAGACCTTAAATGACCACAAAGACACACATTTCTATCCACGCAGGAACATTTTAGTTGGTTAAATGTCACATGTTGCGACGCACCGGTCATGTAGGCGGGTTTGAGCGACCCGGTGGACGTCGAGCTGGACAGGGGACGCCCGGGTCCCTCCTCGGGCCCCTGGTTCTTCTCCTCGGTGCATCTCTCCAGAGACAGCCGCAGAAGATCCAGCTTCTGGGAGGACTCGTGCACCCGGGACTGAGCCTGGTGGCAGAGGGGGGGGGGGGGGGGGGGGGGGGTCTGATTCAGGCTTTTATTGAATAGGAAACGCTGGCTGGTCCGTGTCCTTCACCGTCCAGTGACAAGTATGGAGAAGTCTTTGGACCTCGGCCAGGGCCTTCTGGTCCAGAGAGGAGATCCCCTCCAGCTGCTTCACCACGTCCCGGGCCAGAGACAAGGCGTCCTCCTCCCTCCGCACCAAGCGCTGCAGCTCCATCAGGCGAGCGTCCAGAGGAGCGTCTGAGAGGAGGAGGAGAGAGGGGGAGAGAGGGGGAGAGAGGAGGAGAGAGGAGGAGAGAGGAGAGGAGAGGGGGAGAGGAGGAGAGAGGAGAGGAGAGAGGGGGAGAGAGGAGGAGAGGAGGAGTAGGAGGAGGAGGAGGAGAGGAGAGAGAGAGGAGGAGGAGGAGGAGAGAGAGAGGTGGAGGAGGAGGAGAGAGGAGGAGAGAGGGGGAGAGAGGAGGAGGAGAGGAGGAGGAGAGAGGGGGAGGGAGGAGGAGGTGGAGGAGGAGGAGAGAGTCAATGTGCACAACGTTGTTCAGTTTATCTGAAGTTAATGAAACTCTAAAAGGATCAAAGTGAGTCGGAGGAAAATCCCTCCAGCTGAATGAGGAGACGAGCCGTTTGATGATATTAAGTCTCTGCTTTTATCATCGTCTGTCTAGTTTTAAATATTGAATTAATTTCATCATTGTAAGTGAAGGGAATCTGCAATTCACTTTTTCTAATCTATCATCTCATTTTTCATATTTTTAAATCGACTCCTTTTTTTGCTTGAAGGTATTCAAACCTCATGCGAGTTCTGTTTAAAGCGATACTAATTTAATATCTATCTGGGTTAGAAAGGTGATGCGTGGGATTGTGATTCTACATTTAGTTGTGCATTTTGTTAGTTTGATCTTCTCTCTGTGAGATCTGTTGTGAGTCGTGTGGATGACGTCATGCTGCTGCAGGTTCACTTGCCGAAACAAGACGGAATCACCGCTTAATTTCACATTAAACCTCAACAACTAGACAGATTCTGACATATTGAGTAATAAAACCCCCTCAGGGGGGGGTCCTGAACGCTGACCTCCATGGGTGTCGGGGCTTCCTCCACCGCCCCCCCCGCCCGCCTGGGTGACTCTGATGATCTGCAGGCGGATCAGCTCGATCTTTGAGCGGCTCTCCTGCAGCATCTGCTGAGCCGTGGACAACATCTGATCCTGGATAACGACAAAGCCCCCACTTTCACTCCGCACACTCTGAGTGGAGTCAGCCGGGACGGGGGAGCAAGCGAGCATCGCGGGGGTGGGGGGGGCACTGATTGATTTATCATAACAAGTGGCAACAACACGCGGCGCCGATCCCCGGATCGGACGCTAAAGACACAAACAAACAAGGCAGCGGAGCCACGTCGGGGTGACTCTGCACTTCACTGACCTCACAGCGACACTGAACACGGGGGGGCTAGTTCTTCATCCTCCCGTAGAGGTGGAGGGAAGGGGGGGACTTCTCAGGGTTTCACCTCTCCACCTTCACTGTATCCTATAAACACACAAAGTCCTCCCTGATGTTACGGTGCGATCCCCACCCCCCCCCCACCACCGCGGCTGAGTGTCTCTCTGATGATGACGACGATGCAGCTCCTACATCTTGAGTCCTGGATCTCACACTCTGTCCTCCGGCGTGTTTTCAGCCTCTTCTCTGCAGCATCTCCTTCCCACTGCATCCTCGTCCTCCTCTACTCTGTAACCGAACCCCCCCCCCCCCCCCTCCCTCCCTCTCTCTCTCTCCTCTAGAGTAGAGCGGGTTTCTCTCTGCAGGATGGGGGTTGGGGGGTTGGGGGGGGGCTCAGTATTGGCCGCTGGATGGCCACATGCTTCCTGAAAAAGACAAACACAAAGCTGCTGCTCTTTTTTTCGGGACGAGGAAGACACCGGCCCACATGCAGCGTTTAGTGGGAGGTCGTTCTCCGTGTGACTAAGGGGGGTGGGACGGGGGGGCGGGGGTTCACAGACATACTTATACTCAGATTGTATTATTACATTATATACATACAAGTACAATATTAAACAAAATAATTGATGTCAGATTAATGGGATCATGATGCCATTTTAATCACTTTAGATGTTAGTATCACTTGTTATACATTCCATTAAATTACGTTATATTATGGTTCATTTGTTCTATTGTTTGTATATATTTATAATTATATTGTTATTTGCTATTCTACTGTAATTTTAGGATGAACTCCATCACAATACTTTTCAAAGCTTAATTCAACACGAAATTATTTTGGAGTAAATTTACATTTCTGTTTTATTGTATTGATTTTTAAAAACCTTTTTGGTCATATTATTTGTGTGTATTTTATTCATTTGCACATTTTTGTACTGCTAAATCTGCACAGAAAGATCCATTGGGGTGAAGGCAGTTTCATCTTATCTCTAAAGTTATATTTCGTTTTGAACATTATTCCCTTGACTCAAATCAAGCTGCCTGCAGATTAATAATATGTTTCAATAAGCGCATTGGACAATAGAGTAAAAGTAATAGTAATAATTGAGTAAAGGTAAATGGTAATCCTCTCTGACATGTTGTGAAGTATAGTTTGAAGTAGCAAAAAATAAATAAATGAAAAGTACCTCAATGCACTAGAGAAGTGCAGATGTAAAACTATAATATAAACACACACACAATAAATTAATATGCAATCTTCTGGACACGACCTCAAATATAAATGTGCTGTTTAATATCAAAACGAACACTTTAAACCCGGGACATCCCGAGACTAAGCGGGTTAATGTGCACTGCGCTGCAGAATGAGGTTCCTCCTGCGGGTTTTATTTAAGTGCGAAGATATTCTGCACAAACAATAATACTGAACCCGCCAATTAGATAAACTAATGTGATCACGCGGGGCTTTAGTGCACGCGAGGTGCGTGTTTTACGCGGAGAAAAAGAGGCGTGATGGACAAATAAACCCACTTTGAGAGGCGCAGCGCGCCCCCGCCTCCGTACGGCGAGGCGCGCTCCTTTCATCACGAGCGCGACCCCGCCTCCGTTCGGCGAGGCGCGCTCATAACGAAAGGAGCGCGCGTCGGCAGCTACATTGTGTGTGCGCGCGTGTGAGAGGCAGCACGTTGTTGGCTTTCTGCACGCTGGGAACTTTGCGCCCGAAAATTCTTCCTGTGTTTTTCGGGGAGAAACCCGAAAGATTTCACGGCCGCGCGTTATTTTCAGTCGGGAGCGTCTGTTAGTCAAACATGTCGGCCTCGGCGGCGAAAGTGAGTAAAAAGGAGCTGAACTCGAACCATGACGGAGCGGACGAAACCTCCGGTAAGCAGGGGGTGGTGGTGGTGGTGGTGGTGGTGGGGGGGAATGGCGGCCTCCTGTTCACCGCCATTTTCACGTTCTTCTTCTATCATCGTTTGCGTTGCCGCGATGTCGCGTCGGGCGCTATTACGCGTGTATTATTAGCGGCCGCTTTGTGGCGGAGCGCAACGGCCGTCGACAGCGGCGGCTAGCTGACCCCGGCTAACGCGTTTGTTAGCATGCTAGCTGTTGTTCGGCTCAGACCCCCGGTGCTGAGCGGCCATGTTAGCTTAGCATCCTCAGCGTGGCCGCTTGTGTCGTTGGCCGCCGACCTACTGGCCGTGCGCGACGCGGGGGGCTTTTCGCTCTGCGTATCGTTCTAAAATTGCATTTAATTCGCCACTCTTATTTTCGTTGCCATCGCGGCTTTTGTTATTCGGGGAATTTCGCCCTTTCATTCAGAGCCGCTAGCCGTTAGCCGCTAATGTTGTTGTTGTAGCGTTACCTAACGCTAGCCCACGACGTTGGCTGTTTTGTTTCTGGTCGATACGCATTTAAATCCGCCGGCCCTTCGGTGGGAGCAGCCGTGCCGTCATTGGCGGCTCGAGCGGCGGTTTGGCGGCGGAAGAGGCTCCGTTAACGTCCTGCTCGTCCCTCGCGTTGTGTCCGCGTCCCACATTTAAACCACGCGGCCTCGTCGGAGGCAGCCGGCAGGAAACGCGCTGCAGCCATTGGCCGCGCGCGTTACCTTAAAGCTCACCTGAGATGCCGTAACTCGCCCGCGGGACTAAATGTAGTAAACACACGCGAGCAGCGCCGTAGTGATGGTGGGAGCGAGTTTAACTAAAAAGCAACAATGAGAGATCCGTCGAGTTAAACACGCGTCGTTTTGCATGCGTGCACGAATGAATGCGCATTTTTTATTAATAAAATCCATGACTTTTTTTCAATCGGTCCGGACTTTGAAGTTGCACATAATTAAAAATAACTCTTCCATATTTTTTTTCCCCACAGAGAAAGAGCAGCAAGAAGCTATTGAACACATCGATGAAGTTCAAAATGAAATTGACAGGTAAAAAGTAGTTTATGAATTGCTGATTTTCCATCAAAAGTTGGCCATGAAAATCTACACAATCACAGCCCTGTTTAATATGCATACATATATTCCGTAAATGACTTTGCTTTCTATTTTGTTTGATCTTTTTAGGTTGAATGAGCAAGCCAGTGAGGAGATCCTCAAAGTAGAACAGAAATACAACAAACTCCGTCAGCCATTCTTTCAGAAGAGGTCAGAACTGATCGCCAAAATCCCAAACTTCTGGGTCACCACGTTTGTCAACCATCCACAAGGTGAGCAATTCAACACTTTTTAATGCCTTGCTCTAACAAAAGTTTAATTAATTTGGACGATGGTGTGGTTAGCGCTGTTTCTCACAGCAGTAAGGTTCTGGGTTCAGACACTTTGCTGTGTGGAGTCGGCACGTTCTCCCTGTGTACTCAAGTCTTTCTCCCACAGCCCAGAAAACGACTCACTAACGTCTGTAATATTTCCACCCCTCAGTATCTGCTCTACTGGGAGAGGAAGATGAGGAAGCGCTTCATTACTTGAGCCGAGTGGAGGTGACCGAGTTTGAAGACATCAAGTCGGGCTACAGAATAGATTTTGTAAGTATTGTAAAGATGCCCGCGTACGTACAACATGGAGGTGCTCTGTCTTGTATTGATTTCCTTCCTTCCTTCTAGTATTTCGATGAAAATCCGTACTTTGAAAACAAACTACTTTCCAAAGAGTTCCATTTGAACGAGAGCGGAGACCCGTCTTCAAAGTCGACAGAAATCAAATGGAAATCGGGAAAGGTATGTGTAGCTCTCCGAGTGCTGTAAACTAAATCGTATTGAAAGTTGGATCTTGACATGTTAATCTTTCTCTCTTGTAGGACCTGACCAAACGCTCCAGCCAGACACAGAACAAAGCGGGAAGGAAGAGGCAACACGAAGAGCCGGAGAGCTTCTTCACTTGGTTCACTGATCACGCCGACGCCGGCGCTGACGAGCTCGGGGAGGTGATCAAGGACGACATCTGGCCCAACCCCCTGCAGTACTACCTGGTATGTTCACCGGACAATGACTCATTTCTTACGTGTCTTTCTGCAATTGGCAAGCCTCTTTTTCGCTTCATGCGTGCACATTTTCCCCAAATGTACTCCATCCGTCGGGCCAGGAAACTTGCGTTACGTTTGAAAGACAAAGTGCTAAAAAGCGACTAATCTCTAGGTTCCTGATATGGACGACGAGGAGGGTGAAGGCGAGGACGATGATGAGGACGAGGAAGGTCTGGAGGACATAGACGAGGAGGGAGATGAAGACGGAGAGGAGGATGAAGAGGACGACGGGGAAGATGGAGAGGTAAAGTGACTTCGGTTAAACATTGCTGAGAGAAGCTCGTCTTCATCGATTCCGATTTTTTTTTTTTAATTTTCTTTTTTTTTCTTTCAGGATGACGAGGGAGAAGACGACTAAAATAATATCATCTGCTCAGACCCTAAACCTTCTACTTCCCGTTTGTTTTTTCCACTCATGTTCGGGAGCAAAGGTTTTACTTTTTTTTTTATTACTTTTTTTTATATAAATCTGTGTGCTTCATTTTCCATTCTGAAGCCTCTTCACCTCGTTGGTGCCATGTTATGTTCTTTAGACTCATCCGAGGCCAACGGCACTTTGCCCTGAATTCTGAGTACCATCCCCAAACTCATCTCAATAATTATTAAAAAAAATGTATAAAAATAGAATCAGCACTGCAGTCTGAGTAGAATTTGAAGACTATTCACACAGATCTCCTCCTGTTAAAAGGTTTTGGTAAAATGACTTGAAGCCATGCTGTAGTGACCCAGCGCTAGTTAACCTCAATTTCTTTGTCTGCTGTTTCATTTTCTCATTTGGGACATTGATCCCTTAAAAGTCTTTGTTTTTTTCCCCTTTTGTGGTTAACAAGTACCCGCTCATTCCTTTTGGACTTGGACTAATGTTTAGGGTTAGGGGGGGGCAGGAGTATGTTGGTTATTTGGGGAGTGGTTATTTTGACACCATTTCTATGGGACTTTTTTTTTTTTTTCATTGTATTGTTTTACAGATATCCATGAGATTTGAAATGACATTTTTAATAAAGTACAAAATGGAAAAAAAAACAAGCTTGTAAATTTTGGCCCCTACTGCTTCATAGGTTAAATAAAATACCTGTTGTCTTCAGAGAAATTGCATTTAATCACCTTCCTTTTTTGCAGGGCTTGGGGGGGGGGGCAGTTTTAAATCTGAGGTGTAAAACTTTCTTTGTTACAATAAACTGTATTAACATGTGTGGGAGTTTTCAAAGTGGATGCATAGATTCGTTTGCATGCATATGTTCTATATTTTACATTTTTTAATTTGGTGGTTTTAAGTGACGCCTGACTCGATTCCATGTAAACTTCTCCCATTAATGAAACGCGTCGTGTGTTGAATGCGTTTTGTGCACCATTACGCACCAGGGTGAGCGTCACACCTGGAACCAGGAGGCGCGGTTCCCCGCAGGCAGGTGCCGTTGCGGCCCGGCTCGGGAACAAGGAGATGACTTCCGGCCCAGGATCCCGGTAGCTGCCGCTCTATTGCTCCCACGCGACCACTGGCGCGTCATTGTTGCCCGCTCGTGCATGAGAAAGGCTAAACACGTTAGCTTTTATAACGTTAAGTTTAAATACTATTTAAAAAGTACACCAGATTCATCACCTGATGTTAACACGGCTGACCAGCGATAAATCGTATAGTCCATACTGGTTGGTGTTTAGTGACCGTAAGACGGTTGGTGGCATGGCAGTTAGCGTTAGCGCGCTCCTTATGCTAACCAACGGCCGGAAGCGCCCGTTTCTTTGACCGGAAATGGTCATCTCAATCATTTCCTAGTACATTTTAAAACCCCTAACTGCACGAATTCCCCTAGACTACAAACCGGAGAAATTGTTATTTACTCTAATAGACTAATACGTTTCAGTTTACATTAGTCAAATTCATGCTGTTCAGAACGTGTTGAGCGTCATATCGTAGCCGCATTGTCCTCCATTTTGGGTTAACGTTACAAACCGGCTTTATGGTGATTTTAGAGTACGAACGAGAGGGAAAAATAAAATAAAGTATTTAGCTAGATATTGTATAAAAGTTGTTCGTGATGAGCTGAATTAATAAGCGCGTTTAAACGCGCTTTTAGTAGTTACCACGGGCAACGCGGTTCAAACTCACCTCCGCCAATCACGGAACGAGATATTGCGACGGAGCCAATCAGAGTCGTCGTTCCTGGACCGAAACGCGCGTCCGCTCCAAAGACAAACGCCGAGATTGAGCCGACCGGCAGCGCGGCAGCAGCGGACTCGCCGGAGCTGCTCGGGTCGTGGTGGGTCCTGAATGTTGAGATATGAAAACCCGGGATTCTCCTCCGCCGCGGCCGGTTCACGTGCACGTGCCGGAGACCACACCCGTGCACGTGCACATGAGGAGTCCCAGCGGGAGCCGCCAGGTTAGTGCGCCCTGTCAAACGAGCGACGGCACTTCATCTGCTGCTACATCATATGTGCGGACATCACTGTGGTTGAAGAAGTAAGAAATACCTCAATGTACAAATACTCGGTCAAGTACTCGAGCCGAAGTACAAAAGTCAACGAAAGATACTTGAAGTATCAGATTGTGTAGTTACTTCACAACAATGTCCTGAAAGTGATGAAACGGTTTAACTTTTAGTTAATTCTATTACTTTATATACTTCTGGATAGATTGTGGACCCCCAGAGATATATACAGTTGGATGTATAATTACTTTAACGTTAATATGTTTATTATTCTTGTTATTAATAGTTAAATTAAACTGTTTATGTGCAGAAAGTGGAAAAACGTTACTCCAAATTGCACTCAGGTACAAAGATGATTTATTTCTAGTACGTTGTAACATTTTCCCACCCTTTCCCACGTTTTTCTTTTTAAATAAAAAAAAATAGATAAACTAAATAATGTATTTTTTGTGTTTTCGCCTTTGTGATGCAGCATCGGACCAAAGGGGGCCAGGCGAGGGGAGACGAGGGGAGGCCGAAGGCGCGCGCCCCATGGATTCCTCCAGGAAGGCCGTCCTGCAGAGGAGCCGCGGGCTCGTTCCAGCCTCAGGTCTGCTCACAGGCCTCACGTCCCACTGCCAGGCTTCCAAGTGGAGCTGAATCACATCATGTAAAATGTGTTGCTGGTAATGGCAGTCGATGGTTGAGGCGTTGTGGCCTGAGCTGTGTTTGCTTGCGTCTGATGATCAGAGAAGCAGCGCGGAGCGTCGGTCAGGAGGCGGAGGTCAGCGTGACGATGAGGAGGAAGAGGAGGAAGAGCTCGCTGCAGTGACCAAGAACCTCAGCTTCCTCCTCAGGGAGCAAGAGAGCATGCGTCATTTAAAGAAGTAAGACTCTTACAATAAACACACTCTAAAGTCATGTTTTTATTTTCTAGACTTTAGAAGCTTAAGTAGCCATGTGGCTACATCAATATAACAACCAACAACACTTAGTATACATACATAATAATCATAGTAATGTACCTCTTGATGTCTTATTATTTATCTATCTTATCTGTCAACCTTTATGTCTTCTGCTTCATCCCGTGAATATTCCCACTAGAGATAGAAAATAGTCCTAATTTATCTTATCTCATCTTATGTTAACTTACCCAGCTTAGTGTTACAAACTAACGTATCATAACTTATTATAAGACTTATTTCATGTTAACGTATCTCAGCTTAGCTTAAGTTACCTCATTTTGCTTGCTTGGATTTTGCTTAATTAAGCTCAGCTTATCTTAATGCACCTTATCTCCCTCTAGCTCAGCTCATCTTAACATATGTTATCGCGTTGTTTATCGTGCCCCCCGGCGTCTCCGCCCACAGGCCGGATTCTGGCGCTCGCCCCCGAGGGACGGACGTGCTCCTGAGGGCTCTGGTAGAAGCAGAGATCGACGGCGTGGCCGTAGCCAATCAGCTGACGGCCCTGAAGGAAGCCATGGACGGCCTCCCCGGGGTGCGTGTGGGTCGATTGGGGGGGCGGCTTCTTTTGCCCGCGGATGTTTTTGCGTTAATCCTTTCTGTTTAGAACGAGCGCCCGTCGAAGGCGGACCCGCCCTCACTGAGGCGCCAGCGCGAGCTTCTGATGGAGAAGATGGAGATGTTCGACCACACAAACCGCAGCCTGCGGGGGCTCCTCAGGGAGCGCAGCGGCAGCGAGGTACGGGAGGCGGAGGAAGCTCATCCAGAGGGGTCCAAATGCCTCGTGTCTGTCACTTCCCGTTTGCTCCCATCCCCAGAGGGAGTCCCTGGCGCGGGCCGAACGCAAAGACGCCCTGAGGCAGAGGTTGAGCGACTGCGAAGCAGAGAACATCGTGAGTAGCTTTCCCCCGGCGGCGTGAGACGTACCAGACGTCCGGCGAGACGCTCCTCCTCTCTCTTCTTCCCTTCCAGAGACTCTCGGCGCAACTCACCAACAAGGAGAGGGAGGCCTCTCAGCTCGCCGTGCACTTGGACTTTGAAAAGGTTTCACTAAAACAGCACATCTTCCTCTTGAACATCTCTTCGTATGGATCCGGTGTCCCTAAAGGGAACCGGCCAACACCCCGACCCCCCCCCTCACCTCCTGCTTCTCTTCCTGCGGCAGCACAACGTGCAGACGACGGGGGAGTTCTCGAGGCTCCTGCAGACGACCCGCTGCCACCTGGAGTCCGAGCTGAACCGAAGGGAAGCGGAGACGCTCCGGCTGGCCGCTCAGATTCAGGTGGGTCAGATGTGTCCTCCTGTCCTCCTGTCCTCCTGTCCTACTCGGTGATCAGAAACGGCATCCAGCGTGGGGACGCATAACAATGGCACAATGGTATAAAGGGAAGAAATGATGAAGGCAACATGAATAAAATAGTGAAGGTTTACAAGAAAAATATTACAAAAATAAATTTAAATCAAAGTGCTGCAGTTTTGTGCAACAATTAAGTTTCACACGATAGATAATAATAATTTGATAGATCCAAATGTTGAATGTTTGCATGATAAGAGGTGTGATGGATGAACGTGCGTGTGGAGCAGGCGATGCAGCGGCGCCACGAGCAGCAGCAGGAGGAGCTGCACACTCTGCAGGAGGAGCTGCACACGCTGAGGCAGCGCAGGGAGGAGGAGGAGGAGGGGCCCCGGGAGGAAGGGCGGGGCCGTGGGGACCGGGAGGCGCTGACCCTGCTGACCCAGCGGGCCGAGAGCGCGGAAGAGTCCGTCGGGCAGCTCGCGGCAAAACTGCAGGAGAAGGTCAGTGTCTGGAAGTAGGTCCCCATCGTGGGCGTCTTCTTCCACGTGAGAAGAAATAACTGAAGACGCTTTCATATGAGGGGGGGGGGTTCTTCTACAGCACAGACAGTCGGACTCAGTGGAGTCAGCAGGATGAGGCACCGTGTTTGTGGGTAATAAGGAGACCTCTTGTGTGTTTGATGGAGGAGTCCCAGCTGGCTCAGGCTCTGTGTGCGTCCAGCGACTGGTGCCGCCGCCACGCCAAGGAGGAGGCGGCTAAAGGGCAGCTGGACGAGGACGTCTCCGCTCTCAAGCTGTGAGTGTGTGTGTGTGAGACGACTTCGTCACGCGAAAGACCCAAAAAGCACTTCCATTGTGATGGAATTTAGATTTCTGTAAATATAAAAAAAAGTAAAATAATGTTGCCTCCGTAGCAGTTTATTATATAAGTAAGAGAAAATACTTGGTATTTAATGATTTTTAAAAACGTTTTTAATTTTTTTTTATAATTATTATAATTATTACTTTTAGAACATATTTGTATGAAAAATAATTTAATATGGCTCCAAAAAAATACCACCACTGTGTTATCAATTGAAGAGAAAAAACGTGATACAATTATTTATTTTAAAATAATCATAATTTAATTATCAAGTTACGAGTAAATACTTTTACCTTTTATTTTCCTACATATTTCACATTTGATCTGGTTGAAGCCAGATGGTCATATAATAACAAAGTGTATGAGCGGTGTGGCCGTACAGTGAAGTGAGTTCTGAATGGAGGCAGTGGAACTCGAGCTTTACGTAGCTGCCTCCACCCAACAGCCAGCTGACGGAGCTGAACTCTGAGCTCCACTCGGCGGAGGAGAGGAGTCGGGCGGAGAGGGAGGAGCTCAGCTCGTCCCTCCATCGCCTCAGCGCTGAACACGCCTCCACCAAGATGGACAACCGACGACTCCGGGTACCTTTAATAAAATACACACATGTATATAAACCTGCATGTTAGAAATATATCTGCCCGAGTTCTCAGCGTTGTGACAGCTCGGCGTATGGAGGTCATTTTGTCCTCCTTCTCGTGTCCTCCTATGTGGCGGCTGAAGGGAACGTGTCATGGTACTAATCATGCGTCATGTTCAGGCTCAGCTGACGGCCTCCGAGGAGAAGCTCCGCGATCTGCGGTCTGAAGCCCGACTGCTCAAATCCTCCATCAGAAAGCTCGAAAACCTGGTGGAGAAATACAAGAAGAAGGTACAAATATAGATATAGAAATATGTAGAACATGACGTATGATGCAGCAGTGATATTGATCCAGACGCATCAGATTTAACAATAGAACGTTAGAATGATTTTACTTCAGGATTGTGTATTTATATATACCTCTCTGCTCAGGTGCAGCAGGTCCGCCTGGAGTCGGAGGAGAACCGCCTGCAGCTGGAGGCCACGCAGGAGGAGGCACGGGAGGCGCAGGCCAGCCGGGAGGTGGAGGCGGAGCGGGTGAAGCGGGAGCTGCTGGGTCGCCTCGGGGAGCTGGAGGCGCTGCCCGACCGGCTGAGGAGGGCGGAGCAGCAGCTCCGGGGCGCCGAGCGGGAGGCCGACGCCCACCGGAGGAGGAGCGAGGAGCACGACTCGGCCCTCGCCGAGGTCACGCGCAAGGTGCCTGACCTTCAGCCTGGAGGCTCTGAAACCATCGCAGAGGTCTTAGTCTGCAGTCACGGAGCTTCTCAAAGGGGAAACCTCTCCTGCTGCTCCACGTGTCTCTCCGTCTTGGGACTGATGGAGACTCCTCCATGTTCCTCCACAGGTGGAGCAGCAGGGAGCGCAGCTGGAGACGCTGCAGCAGAGGAACCTGCTGCTGCAGGAGGAGAACAACGTTCTCAAGGAGAAGATACACAACTCAGAGAGGTGAGGACTGCAGGAGGCGACGGGAGACCGAGGACGGAGCACGTCTCCTTCTGTGGCACGGTGTCTCCTTGGGATCGCTTTCTGTCTCTTCATGGTGGTTTTCGTAGGCGTGAGTTGCTTTGTATTCTGTTTGTAGTCCTGGTTTCGTCATCTCTCAGCTGCGGCCGTGTCTCTGCTTCCCGTTGTCGTCGTTGTGACTCACTTTGTAAACTCGTAGACGGCCGACGTCTGTTGCAGGCGGTTGGAGGACATGCGCCTTGAAAACCAAGAGATGTCCCGGGCTCTCCCGTCCAAGGAGGCGGCCGTCCGCAGCGTGCGGCAGCAGCTGGAGGAGAAGACGCGCGAGTGCAGCGCTGTGTCCAGACAGCTGCAGCAAGCTGTGGAGGACGCACAGAGACAGGTCCGCTCCCTCCGCCACACGAGGACACTTGTCCAGTTAGATGAGTCAGTTTGGTCTCTTGTCCCCCCCGTTATGGTCCCGACCAGTCGCTCGTTCAGCGCGCCGCTTTCATCGATTTCACAGCAAGCGAAAGCCTAAAAATAGTGAGAGATCTGTGGAAGTAAACATTCGGATACTGGAGATCTAATTCCCCTGTGAGCTGATGTTGTGTGAAGCAGTAAATGTGAGAGGGATTTCTCAATCAAATATTATTTCAACTTCTACACCAGAGGTGTGGCTCAAAGTGGGTTAGGATTCAGTTGCTCAGACGGTTGACTTCCGTCCTGCAGGTGGACGACGGCGTGCAGAGGGTTTTGGCCAAAGAGAGAGCGTCTCAGTCCAAAGCCTTGGAGCTGCAGAGCCAGCTGAGCCGGGCCAGAACCGAGCAGAGTCACCTGCAGCGGAGCAAGGCGGAGGTACGCCGTGACATCCGGCGGGGGGGATACAAACATACCAACCGGTGGTGTCTCACCTATTGTTTCCCTCCAGATGGAGCGTCGGTTCCAGAGTCAGCTGCAGAACATGAAGGACAGGCTGGAGCAGTCGGACTCCACCAACCGCAGTCTGCAGAACTACGTCACTTTCCTCAAAACCTCGTATGGAAACGTGTTTGGTGACTCTTTGACCGCGAGCTGAGGAGCCTTCTTTCATTAGCAAGGCAGCAGACCCAAGTAACCCAAATAACCCGCATTCACTGTTATTTTTCACTGGAGAGTTTTATATCATTTATGAAATTAATAAAGGACGTTTTAAAATGAAAATGCTCACATTATAGTCGCCTGAAATTTATTGATAAGCATTTATAATTTATCCCTTGATTCAGATGGCATTGATACTCGAAGCCTCCATCTAGGGTTTCCAGAGCTTCCTCCGCCCTTCTTTCAAATCCGCACCCGACATGTATAAATGTCGTTCTGGTAAACACCTATAATTTGACTTATATAATAATATTTAATAGCCGTTTCCCATTTTTCATGATTACATCTGAAATTCTAACTAAATAAAAGACGTGTCCTACTTATGCCAAACCCCACTAAGAACTTAATTCTGATACATATAGAAACGTAACAAATTCATTTCTGATTCCTTATAAATCACAGTTCTTTAACTGGGTATCTATTTGATACAACGTGTTAAATTGTGGTTGTCGGAAGGTCCGTTGCTTCGCTGCAGCCACGTTAAACTATAAGATCCATAACGGTGGGTCTATTACTCACATTTGACGTTTTTGTCAATTGAGTATTTGTTTAAATGATGGTGTTTCTGATTGAGGAACCGCTTCTGAAATGCTACCAATATACAAATAAGCATTGTACCATTACAGTACTTACGTAGTGTCATTCATTGGGTTTTTAAAGGTACGGAATCCTCGTGCCGACACGCGGCGGGCTGTTTCTCGTCGGACGGTAATTTTTGTGACCATATCCGGCGGCGATTCAAAAACCTAGCCCGAAGCTAGCAGTACTTTGTGGTTCTGCATTTTGTTTAGCATTCTGCGGCGATGCCCGCTGAAAACCTGCGATGGGAAACGTTACAGGCGTTGAAGAACTCTCCGAAGGGCAGAATCACGTACGACCCGCGCTGGTCAGAGCGAGGCGAGGTGAGTAAACGCTGATGCTAACTGTGAACTGAACTAGCTAGCTAGCAGGCTAGTATGCTAAGCCAGTGGCCAGCTAGCTAGTGGTCAGTTCATGTCAGCCAGTCTCTGTTTGGATCGATTACTTCACGAGTTGATTTATTTAGCTCTCTGAAGTGACCATTGAGCCATTTATCTCCACCGGGACGGTCTGTTAATTAGCGAATGAGCCGTGAGATCAGACCAATGTTACTGACCGGGAAGGTTTATTAAACTTTCATTTTCATTTCGCGTGGACTTGGTGATTTAAATGTCACACTGGACACATTTGTGTGCCATCCAGTTCATGCTAATATATATCAATTCACTATATGTAGTAATACTTCGGACTCAACCTTTGACGTTATTGTACCTTTACTGAGGTGATGTGATTTCCATTAAATGAAAGTCTGTAGTTACTCGACTACATTTCAAAAGGACGTACTTGAACTGTAATACCACAATTAGTAGAACACTCTCCACCAAAACTGCCTAATTAATGCATGTTTCCTAAATCATAACACGTTCCACGTCTCAAACAATAAACTGTCCAAAAGCCTTTATGTGTTTTAAATGTGCTTTTTCAAATGTCGAGTCCAGTTCCATGTTTAGTATGACGGATTTTCCTTGTAAAAGCAGAATAAGACGCTGTGCAGTGAGCAACACCCGGCCTTCTTTCCTTCAGGATATTTTGTCCGGCTGCAAAGACGTCCTCAGCCTGTCCTCGCGGTCCGGGGTCGTCCTGGAGCGTCTGGGCTCCTCGCCCCTGCAGAAGTCCTGCTTCCTGAGCTGCAGCCCCAGAGGCTCCTGCGCCGGCCTCTCCGGGGAGAACTCCACCTCGGCCTCCTCCTCGGGCTCAATCTGCGAGCTGCTGGGCCGACCCAGCGCCGAGCGCGAGCAGGCGAGTCTGTCCTCCTGACGTCCGTGTGCCTGTGAGAGGAAAGAGAAGTCGTGGTTTAGCTTTGTGGCCTCCTGCGCCGAGAGCGTTTATTTGACACATTTGTGTATTGCTTTCGCGCAAAGTAATTGATTTCAGGAAGTCATCAAATCAGCTTTTACATTATTTGGGGTTTGCGAGGACAAACATTTCTCCGAGGACATGAAACGCAAACTAAGAGTAATACTAAGATTAGAACGAACGGAGACACATTAAAGCTGAGCGCTGCGTCTTTTTTTAAAGGCATCTTTAACTCTGGTTCTTCTGTATAAACTCTCTTTTCCTTTCTGGGAATCCGTTTGAACTCTTCCGTCTCGTGTCTGTATTTCCGTCTCATCTTTTCTTAACGCGCTGCAGGCTGTTGGCGAGGGAGCAAAGGACGACGGTCCGGAGGACGACGTCCTCGACGTTCCCACGTCTCTGCCTTCCATTTCCCTTCTGTCGCCCAAAGCCATGGAGACGGCGGGGCGCATTATCAAGTTTGAGGAGGAGCAACGAGAAAAGGCAAAGGTCAGACGCCAACTGAGGTCAACATCTGACTACAGACTAACTGTCCTGGTGTTTTCACTCTAATGGGACGCAGTCGTAAAACGGTGTTTGTATGAGAACATCATCTTTTACTTTACTGTGGTCACTCACAGCTGTTGATGGATTTATAGGTCAAAGGTCAGATGAGTTTCTGTGCACACGCTGGTCTAACCCGTTTTACTGTAAGAGGTCATTGGCACCGGAGCGCCTCGGCTGATGCGTGTCCCGATTCCCCTCGGATCAGACGGCGCTCAAACTGCGGCAGGAGGTGCACGAGCGGCTGGTGGCGGTGGTGGCGAGCTCCGAGTCGGAGCAGCTGAAGCGCTTCGAGGAGTTCATGGAGCTGAAGCAGAGGCAGGAGTTCCAGAGCATGAGGGACATGATGGACCGAGAGTGAGTCCCGATGTGGTCCCACACGAAATCCCACCCACCGAAAACCAAACCGTAAACAAAACCTTCTGCCCCACAGAACTAAAGAGAGCATCGGGCGCCAAGAGAAGCTGAAGGAGGAGCAACGGCACCGGATGAAGGTACGCTGGTCAGACCAGGTGGAGGCGCAGGGCTTCAAGGTCTGAAGCTCACCGGACCTCCTTAAGACCGATCGATGAGACGTCTGAAAAGATCTACGAAGTCCTCAGAGAGACGTCTCAGACGGCGAATTGCATCGTACCAACGAACGGCGGCTCAGCAGCCAACTTATTTCATTCCTCTTATCCCCCGGTATTTAAAATGATCTTATCCGCGTTCCGTCCACGTCGCCAGATCATCAACCTGCGTCTGCGGGAGGCGGAGCAGCAGCGTCTGCGGGAGGCGGAGCTTGAGCGCCAGCGGCAGGCAGACGGCCGCGACCGCCTGCGCAACCTGAACACCATCCAGGAGGAGATCCTGCAGCTCAACCAGCTGCTGGAGCCCTCCTCCGGCACCGGGACGGACCTGGGCGCCTACTGCACCCGTGGGAACCAGCTGTGCTCACAGCTGTCGGAGGTGGTGCGGAAGACGGCCGAGGTCAGTTTGATTTAGAATGTGTGCTGTATGTGTTCACATATACCCCCCCCCCCACCCCCCGAGATCTGAACTGGGATCAAAATCTCTTCGGACTAACCTGTGTGTTGGTTCCAGGGGGAGTTTCCCAGCGTGGACGACATGACGGGGGCGGAGCGGGCGCTCCACGAGATGAGGGCGCTGATCCGCCTGATGCAAGAGGACGTGGCCCAAGCCCCAGAGAAGAAGAAGAACGACGAAGAGGAGGAGGAGCGGCGCAGCAAGCACGAGCAGCTGCAAGCGCAGCAAGAGGCGCACAAGAAAGCGGCGCGAGTCTCGCCAAAGAGAAAGCGAAAAAGAAAAGTTGGGGGGTTTCCTTCATCACCAGAGATATCTCCTAAGAAGATGAACGCGTCCCACTTACACCCTGAACCCTAGCGCTCTAGGCCTGGAACCCCTGAGGCCTCAGGGCTGGAACCCTTGAGCCTAAGGGCCTTGATCCCTAACACCTCTAGGCCCTGAAACACTTGAATCTCCTGGCCCTGAACCTCTTGACGCTTAGGCCGCGAATAACTAGCGGCTTAAAGGCCCTGAATCCTAGCGCCTCAGGCCCTGAACCCTAGCGCCTCAGGCCCTGAACCCTTGAGCCTCAGGCCCTGAATCCTAGCGCCTCAGGCCCTGAACCCTAGCGCCTCAGGCCCTGAACCCTAGCGCCTCAGGCCCTGAACCCTAGAGCCTCAGGCCCTGAACCCTAGCGCCTCAGGCCCTGAACCCTAGCGCCTCAGGCCCTGAACCCTAGCGCCTCAGGCCCTGAACCCTAGCGCCTCAGGCCCTGAACCCTAGCGCCTCAGGCCCTGAACCCTAGCGCCTCAGGCCCTGAACCCTTGAGCCTCAGGCCCTGAATCCTAGCGCCTCAGGCCCTGAACCCTAGCCCCTCAGGCCCTGAATCCTAGCGCCTCAGGCCCTGAACCCTTGAGCCTCAGGCTCACTCAAGGCACCTGATGAGTGTGTGTGTGAGTCCATGAGGGCTTGAAATGATGTAAATTATGTAAAAACAAATAGAATAGACCTTTACTGCAACATATCCTTGAATAATCTATTTGCTCAATGAATAAATATCCAATCATTTTGTTCCACCTTTTAATCCTTAATATGCCCCCCCTCTCAAAAAAAAGGTCTGCAGAACAGCGCTGAAGACGGCACGCTGAGATGGTTCAAGGAGCTGCAGGAGTCTGCTGCTCGCTGCGCGCTCTCCTTCGAGCAGCTAAACGCCGCCAAAGACGCCCAGGTGAGCTGCGGGGGGTTCGGGGGGGGTGGGGAGGTGGCACTCACTCACTCACTCACACAGACCAGTAATCAAACCACAATATGGATCATTTAATGATCATCTGAAGGAGTTTTACCACTATCCTCCTGTCCTGATGAGATGTTGGTTCCTGCAGACCAAGAAGCTGAAGCTGGAGCTGCAGAAGGCCTCCAGCATCCCCGTCAGCCAGATATCCAGCAACTCCGGATCGCAGCTTCGGGAAATCTTTGACAAGATCGACAAGCTGCTGTCGGGACGCTCGGTGGTGTCGGGGGGGCGGAACATCTCAACCTCCCAGCATCCTCAGGGGCTGGACTTTGTCAGCTTCAAGCTGGCGGAGAAGTTTGTGGTGTGTGTGTGTGTGTGTCTGTGTGTGTGTGTCTGTGTGTGTCGTGGTTGAAGTCAGATCAGCTTCAAAGTAGATTTTTAAATACAAAAAAAATGACCCCCCCCCACTTCCCCTCCATAGAAACAAGGAGAGGAGGAGGTGGCGTCCCACCATGAAGCCGCCTTCCCCATCGCGGTGGTGGCGTCGGGCGTGTGGGAGCTGCACCCTCGGGTGGGCGAGCTCTTCCTGGCCCACCTGCACAAGAAGTGTCCGTACTCGGTGCCCCACTACCCCCCCATGAAGGACGGCACGCCGGTGGAGGAGTACCAGAGGTTCGGCCCGTCCTTCCCGTGGCGGTAACCGTCGGTGTTTCATTCAATAAAGCTGAACTGTGACTCCGCCCCCCCCCCCCTACCCTCCCTCAGGATTCTTGGGTACCGCGTGGACGACTCCGGGGTCGAAGGTCAGGACAGCTTCCTGAAGAGGATGTCGGGGATGATCCGGCTTTACGCCGCCGTCATCCAGCTGAAGTGGCCGTACGGCTCCAAGCAGGCGGTAAGAGAGAGAGAGAGACGTGTCACTTCCTGTCCCCCCCGACGCCTCTGACCTCCCGCTGCGTTGCAGGCGGCTCCTCACGGGCTGAACCACGGCTGGCGCTGGTTGGCTCAGATGCTCAACATGGAGCCGCTGGCCGACATCACGGCCACGCTGCTGTTCGACTTCCTGGAGGTGAGGCGACGCCCCCCCACCTCCCCCTCATTTAAATATGCAGATGAGCTGTGATGATGTCACTCAGCATCAGCTCCTTACGATGAAGTTTATAAAGGATCTATAGACTCTTTATAAACTCTTATAAGCATTGTATATAGTTGATGTAAGTACTTGTAGTACTAGCTGATAATACCTGCAGGCCTGACTTGGAGTATTAGCGAAGCGTCTGAGTTTTCCTGCGGTCATTGAACGTGTCTTTCGGTTCCAGGTTTGTGGAAACGCTTTGATGAAACAGTATCAGACTCAGTTCTGGAAACTCATCGTGCTGCTTAAAGAGGAATACTTCCCCAGGTACCCGCTCACTTCTGGGTGCAAAGTGCACCGATTCACTCGTTGTTTTATCAGAAGTTGAACCTTCGGTTTGATGAATGCGTCTCCAGGATTGAAGCGGTGACGAGCAGCGGGCAGATGGGCTCCGTCATCCGGCTCAAACAGTTCCTACAGGTACGACCCGCGTTCATCTCAAATAAAGATTCATCACTTGTTCCCAACTCTGCTTCTGTAGTTTTGTTTCAGAATGACATTTGGGTATTTTAGTCCTTTTTTGATCAGTTTGTCCCTTAAGAATAAACTCTTTGCCTGCAGACGTCTCTGCAGAGCCGACAGATCCGCCCCCCCAAAGGGCAGCTGAGCTCCATGTTCTGGGGCTCCTGATGGAGGAGGTGGAGCCGCATGACGCCGCTCGGACTGAGACTTCGGAACGGGTTTCTGCTTCAGGAAACGTTTCTCTTTAGCAGTTTTATTGGTTTCCTTCTGGAGGGAAAAAGCTCTTTATTGTCCTCACTGAATTGGTTTTCTACTGTTTTTATTTCAACTTTTTTGTCTAGGAATCCACCATGTGGAGCAAAGACTTGTGTGTAATATGAGCTGTTGAGTCATTGTGAATCAAGATTAGACGTATATTTATTTTTAAAAAGTAACAATCACTAAAGATTCACGTTGAAACAATTGTGGATTATGAATCATTTATTACAATATTTTCAACTTTGAACCAAATGTCTGAAATAAAACCTTCAGCATTTCACCGGAAGTTTTCCTCCTTTTGAAAATGAACTATTGTAACATCTAATCAAGAATAGATGGTTCAAGTGGAAACAATAGTCGTGCTTATTAATTGTTCCTCAAGGCTACATGTTTTATTTCAACCTTTGTACAATTATGCACAATGAGTTTGTTGGAATACAATTAAATAAATGCATCTGTGGATTAAGTACATTCACATTGGCGAGTCAACGGGTCTTTAATTCCACCCTCAGTTACAGGAACCAACTGATCTGAATCACTTGAAAATGAAAATATGGTTCTTTTTAAAAATCAACTCAACCGGACCGTCTCTCTATTTTTACATACATGGGAAAAATTGAGATTTATTTTTCATAAATAAGAATTTAATGTCGTGGAGCAAAATTAAACCACAAATTTGGGACAGTCTAAAATAAACAGTGTTAATTCAAAAGAAACCTACAGTATTGTGTGAAATACAGGAAAATCTCACATTACAACCTTTTTTTTTTTTTCCTGGGGTCACGGCAACTTAAGCGTTTTTACACATTTATTCAAAACCTGGAAATGTTCCAAATCAAAATATATTTCCAGATCTGCAAAGTATAGAAGATCAGCTCCAAATAAAGAAAAGTGGGAAATTAACAGAATCTGCATCAAAGAAAAGAGTTTAATGCGTTGCAGTACCAACACCCCACCAGCAGAGGGAGGAACCCCCCCACACTACTTAAATGGTTGCTGGGCTTCATTCGTCTAGCACCCCTTTCACAATAAAGCAGGCTTCCTGTTTCCTGTTCCGTTCTGTGCTTAGTCTCTCCGAGGCTGAAAGCCCCCTCTGGTGGGGGGCGGGGCCTCAGGCTCGGCCCTCGTGGTTGAGCGACGCCCTCTCCATGCGGCGGTACCAGGGTTTGACCTTTGTGTTCTCCATCATGTCGTCAAACGCCTGCAGGCCCTCCATCACCCGGAGGACGCCAAACACCGCCTGGGGACACACGGAGGACAGGACGCATCAAGGAGGGGTCATCGGCATCAAAGGACATCACATGACAGATTTGTACCCGGAGGGTAAAGTTTGCAACTTACATACGTTTGTTGTTTAGTTAAATATAGGAACACTGTTCAAAGTATAGAAAATAAATGTCTATTAGTAGATATAAATAGATACGTTAGTTTATTAATTTTGCAACCTTTACCCAAAAGTATTTTTTAGATTCAAAACGTATTATTGAAACTTATTTACTTGTGTGATTTAAAAACATAATATTTATTGAGGCGTTGTTGCATCTGATGACAAATAAATCGATCACATCGCTACATAAACTGTTAAAGTCAGTTTAGTGTGTTGATTTGCTCATTTATAAAGTGTTGTGTTACTAATCTGCACATATCTCACGGTTCTGTTTTAGATTGTTACTTTATAAGAGTTATAATATATTCGAATATGCTATATATTATTAAAAAAAACAACAGAACAATTCTAATTATTTAATCTCAGTCTGGGTGAGACGGACAGGTGAGGCGTCCTCTCACCAGGTCGGCCAGGTTGGGATGATCTCCGCCCATGAACTTCCTCTTCTTGCCGACGGCCGCCACCCACTCGTTGACGGCCTTGTAGAGGTCCTGCCTCACGTCGTCCTGCAGGTTGTGTCTGTGGTACCAAAGAAGAAGGAAGAGTGGGTGAAGAAGGAGGAGAAGAAGAAGGAGAATCACAAAAGTTCCCTCAACTCACCGACTCTTCAGCCGCTTGGCGATGAGGAACATGGCGGCGGCGCCCACGTATTTGGCGAAGAATCCCTCGTAAGAGCCGAACTTGCCCTCGCGCACGATGTAGTCAAAGGAGGCCAAGGCCTCGCCGGAGGTCCGGTACACGTTGGGAGAGATGAGATGCACGAGCCAGTCGTCGGCCCACTGACGCCACTTCATTTCCTCTCTGGGGAGATGACAGAACCTTTCAAAATAAGAGCATGCCAACGACCACACGGCCAAAAATACCAGGATGTTCCACTGCATCCGGTCTCAATTTGCAGTTATGCCCCCATCGTGCTTTTCTGGCTACTCTGACCCACAATGCTTTGCAAAGCTGGTATGAATGGAGGAACAGGGTCCTCCTCCAGGGTCAGAGTTCAAGGTGCTGTGTATAAGTCCCAATTATAATATATTTTTGTTACTCATGTAATGCAAACTGCTGCACATATAAGATTCACAAACACAAAAAATATAAATTTTACAATTAAAAAATAATAATAAAAAAGTTCCCACCACATAACATGTGGTTTCTTCTGAGAGGTTTAATTAAATCACGTTAGAGGCGGGGTTATAAAGGTGGCGGTTAGTAAATAAGGAGGAGGCGGTTGACCTCTGGGTGACCCCTGGGCAGCGAGCGGAGGGTCCTGTCTCTTACTTCTGCATCCCCTTCTCGGGGTAGAGCGCCGCGGCCTCGCCCTGGTCCAGCATCACCCAGTACTTGTTGCTGTACTCCGTCACCTCCTTCCCGCGGTCGTTTACAGACTTCATCTCCGGGTAGCAGCGAAGGATGTCGGACATGCTTTTGTCTCTGCAGGACGAGACGTTTACATTCAAAAAGGGCCAGAACACACTAAATACAAAGTATAATTACATCACCTGTAGTGCTGTACACATCGGAGTATTATTATTATTTTCATAATCGGCATTGGAATCTCGAAAAGTTCATTTTTTTTTTATCTGAAAAACTATAAACTAAAAAGATATTCAGTTTACCGTCACGAATGATTAACAAAAGCATAGAAACCTCCCAGTTTAGCTGGAAGCTGGAACCAGCTCATTTTGGGCCATTTGTGCTTAAAAAAAATGACTCAAATTGAATAAATCATCAAAATAGTTGCAGATTGATTTAAACCAGTAAACCGTGGACATATAAAAATAATGTCTAATCATTTGTGAAACATCTTTTAAAACATAAAACAATGGCTGAAAAATCTTTTTGGTCTTTCACGCGTTGGTACAACGTGAGCAAAGCTACGACTCACTTGCTGATTAAATAAGTCTTGAGGGAGCTGATGATGACGGACGAGTCGTTCAGTTGCTGCAGAGGGAAGGAAAAAAAGGGTTTTTACTTCATGTCAACGGCACAGACTTTAAATAAGAAGTGACCGTTGCCATAGCGACGTCACTCATTAAGTTTGTGGCCACATGTGAAGTTTGGCGATTTCACAGTCGCCATCTTGCATCACGACCACAGCAAGTTTTTTTCCCCAACCAGTGAACAGGAAGTGACCACATTTGGAATGAGGAAGACGTAGAAACTCTGTATACGTCTCTGGTAAAGACCTGTCAATCAGCGTGTAGCCCCGCCCTAAATCATCACCTGCGTTATGGTCTGTTTGACTCGACAAGGACCATCAGTCACTAGATGAACATCATGTTGTGTTGAAGAAGACTTGAAACTAGAGACTGAGACCATAAACTCATGTTTACAATGTTTACTGAGGGAATAAATCCAGAGAGAAGTAGAGTCATTTCCTCATAGACGTCTATGGGAGCAGAGGAGTCGCCCCCTGCTGGTCACTGCAGAGAAGTAGAGTCATTTCCTCATAGACGTCTATGGGAGCAGAGGAGTCGCCCCCTGCTGGTCACTACAGAGAAGTAGAGTCATTTCCTCATAGACGTCTATGGGAGCAGAGGAGTCGCCCCCTGCTGGTCACTACAGAGAAGTAGAGTCATTTCCTCATAGACGTCTATGGGAGCAGAGGAGTCGCCCCCTGCTGGTCACTGCAGAGAAGTAGAGTCATTTCCTCATAGACGTCTATGGGAGCAGAGGAGTCGCCCCCTGCTGGTCACTGCAGAGAAGTAGAGTCATTTCCTCATAGACGTCTATGGGAGCAGAGGAGTCGCCCCCTGCTGGTCACTACAGAGAAGTAGAGTCATTTCCTCATAGACGTCTATGGGAGCAGAGGAGTCGCCCCCTGCTGGTCACTACAGAGAAGTAGAGTCATTTCCTCATAGACGTCTATGGGAGCAGAGTCGCCGCCCCCTGCTGGTCACCACACAGAATGCAGCTTTAACACATTAAGCCTGAGCTCTTCTCCAGTTTACAGGCATGTAAGTGTGTATTCTGGTCATGGTACCAACAACAGCCGAATAAACAAGCTTGTGTAACCTGAATCTGAGGAGAAGAAACGGGTTCTTACCACGTCGGTATCCACCATGAGGATGGGCACCTTTCTGTAGACCGACCACTTGATCTCCTTCCTCATGACCGGGTTCACCTCCACGACCTCGTACGGCAGCCCGTGGTAGTCCAGGAAGGCTCGCACCTTGCTGCAGAACGGGCAGGTCTTGTACTGGTAGAGGGTCAACGACGGACCTCCGGCTCTTCCTCCTGAGACCTGGAACGAGGCAGAGGAGGAGGGACGATGAAGGTCTGATGCACAAACCTTTGAAATGTTCAAATCGCTGTCAGTTTCAAAACAGAACAAAGTCGCCTAATAATAATATTAATAATCACTTCAGATGAAAATGAAAATTAGCACACAATTTTGATTGTTACACAATAATTAACTAAAACCCTTAAAATACTGCAGTATTTGTACAAGCAGTGTGTGAATTGAATTATTTACTAAACCAAAAAGAATTTGCTTAATGTATTTATAGTAAACCAGTATTACTAGTAAAAGTACCAAAACAACAGCTTAATAAGTACTGCATTCAAAATGTAATCAAGTAAAAGTAGGAATGTATTATCCTCATATATACTCATACATAACCCAAGTACTCTTTACGGATGAAACATTTCAGAAAGTATATAGTAGTGTATTTATGGATGCATTTAAGTGTGTTTTTAAATTACTTTACAGACATAACTTCTAACTAAACTTGTGGAATAACTTAACTCAATTCATAATTGAATCAATGCATATTTCTGTACTAATAATACAAAGTAAATAAAGCTGTCGAATCAATTAGTGGAGTAAAACGTAGTTTGTTCCTCTTATTATAGACTAGAAATATGTTGCATACAATGTAAATACTACTTCCACGGTATTTGAGTAAACTGAGTAAAGCTGGAGATACTGAGAGAAGACGAAGGACTAAGTTCCGGTGACCCTGTCTGCAGGAGTTCGGTAACAATGGAGCACCGGAACCGGAGACCAGCGGGATACCGGCTCTCGGCGTGGCCGCGTTAGAGGCTCCGGACGGCGGACTCACCTTGGTCTCCTCCTCGGCCAGGTGCCGCTGGAGCCTGAACTTCACGGCGTGATACAAACCCAAACCTCCGCCGAGCAGGACGGCGCAGCCCAGCACCCTGCCGCCTGCCGCCCCGGTCCGCGGAGAGGACAGCCGGTGGGACCGGTCCCCTCCGGTACCGTACGCTCTCCCGGAACCGCGAGAGCACACGTTCCCCACCAGGAAGGAGGAGACGGTACCGAACCGGCGGGCGGCCGGAGACTCTAAAATACCACCGCCGACCTTACAGAGCGCTCTGGTGCAGGCGGCCGCCATGTTGGATTTACATAAAGTCCCAGGATGCACCGCGGACGTTGGCGATGTGTTTAGGTGTCCCTGAGGAAAAGAGGGGACCGATGACTGATTCCAAATAAGTTTTTCTTTGTTTATTTTTGCGTAACACCTTCACCAGACGATACAGACAATAAATACCCGTTTGGCTAACTTTATTATAATTATAACCATGTGCATTTATTCAATTGCATTGTCCCTTCCCTCTGACAATAGGAATAAATGTAAAATTGTTACAACATTTCGGAAAGTAACATAAACTTTCAAATGGTATATTATTGGTATTATTTATTCCTATCTTAAAAAAAATGTTTTTTAGAATTAAATGCATGTATTTTTATCAACTTATATAGGAAATACTTCATATTTTGATATATGTAAATGGATAAAAGTTAGAGATAGAGTTTTGTTTCATGTTATTTGTGCATTCTATTCATATGTTTTTACACCTATAAGCATGTGTATATCTACATACATGTCGGCTGTGTTCACGTGCGACTAGTGTCATCGCTGCCTCTACGTTGCTCTATCTGTGGTGCGTTCATGGGCGTCGTTGTTCGGAGTGTCGTTCGCTCTCAGAAGCGTCTGGTCTCCAGTGAAAGCGGAGGATCCCCGTCGGCAGCATCCATTTAAGCATCCGAGACTGGTCAAATCAGCCGCATCTTCCCGGGAGTCGGGCCACTCCTCACCGGGATGTCGTTGCACCGGGGGCGGATTTAGTCGGGAGGGCCGGCGATACGGGGGACATCTCCGTCGTTGTGTCTTTTACCGGACCGGAACGCGGCGGAGCGGCGATGGATGAACACGGCGCGAGACAAATAACGTTTTTGGAGAAAAAAAAATCTCTGAGGTTTAGCCTGCTAGCACGCTAACGGTAGCTAGCCCTCAGCTAGCCACTGCTTGTTGTTTTCCTCCCCGTTCATTGACCGATGTGGTGTCTTCCTCCATAATTTAACGGGCTGTAATTTATTTTTACACCAATGTCGAGACACACCGGAGCCACGAGGAGCGTCACATCTCAAGGATAAAGCCCCGCAGCTGCCTCGCTAGCCTCCCCGACGTTTAGGCTAACGTCAGTTAGCATAAAAACACCGTTATTTCTTTATTGCTATTTGGGTTTTTTTTCCGTCAGTCGCTCTTTCGCTTCTCCCGTGACGTCAAGATGCCGGCTGAGGAGGAGAGTGTCTGATCGGTGAACTCACACTCTCCATGAAGGTCATGATACTGAGAGAATGATCATGCTGGAAAAACAGGTAAGACATCCGTCTGTGTGTTTGATGCACATCTGCATATACCTGCACATCTGCATATACCTGCTCATCTGCATATACCTGCTCATCTGCATATACCTGCTCATTTGCATATACCGGCTCATCTGCATATACCTGCTCATCTGCATATACCGGCTGATCTGCATATACCTGCTCATCTGCATATACCTGCTCATCTGCATATACCTGCTCATTTGCATATACCGGCTCATCTGCATATACCTGCTCATCTGCATATACCGGCTGATCTGCATATACCTGCTCATCTGCATATACCTGCTCATCTGCATATACCTGCTCATTTGCATATACCGGCTCATCTGCATATACCTGCTCATCTGCATATACCGGCTGATCTGCATATACCTGCTCATCTGCATATAGGGCCATTCGGGGCGTTGATTGGACCTCCTGTCCCAGCTCGGCTCTGATCAGTGATCAATACTGATGACACATATCTCCCATCGCTATAACCTTCCTCCCAGGTCCCCTCCTCCCCGTGTCTCTCATTCTCTGTCCCTCTGTCTGTCTCTCTGTTAGAGACACTCTCCTTAAAGTCAACCTGTCTCTGTCCCTCTGTCTTCCCTTTTTGTCTCTCTGTCTTTCCTCTTTGTCTCTCTCTCTGTCTCTCTCTCTCTCTCTCTCTGTCTCTCTCTCTCTACTTAAAGTCAACCTCTCTCTCCCACTGTTACAGCTGCTACTTGTTTATTAGAAATAATCCTAAGGATTTTGGTATTAACGGGATGTTTTTATCTGTCGGCGGTTGACACAAAATCCCTCTCACATATTATTATTTGATTATACAGCAGTCAGGAAATACTGAATATTGTCCATCATAGTTTCATTGTTATTATTTATACTTTATAACAGTTCACAACCCCAAATGTATTCATTTAAAATCATATAAAACAGGCTTATTGTCTTTATGTATTCTGAGATTAGAAATTTGAGCAACACGAGACAAAAACAACAGATCTATTGTTGTTTTTAAAGGAATCAATTGATCGAAAAATTTCTAAATTATGTCTGTAAATAATGAAAAATGTCCATCACAACTTCCAATTATCCAACAAAGAAATAACACTGAGAAAAGCTGCAACCAATGAAGCTGCTTTGGGTTTTTCTCCACATGAAGACCTGCTGCTTTGTGGTTTTTATAAAAATCTAAATTGTGTATATATACACATTTCTTTATTTAGTAGGTTAAGAAGAAACAAGTTCAGACGCTGGTCGACATGATAATATCCCGTTTGGAGCTTGTGCTGATGTTTTCTTTGATAGTTTGTGGACTAATAATGACACTTAAAATAAGTATCAAAATATAGTTTATTCCATGGAACATTTAGTCTGAGTAATAATGTTCAAATATGTAGAGAGTTGTGCTTCTGCTATTGGTTCATAAACTAGTGTTGTCCAAAAAGAGCACAACATATTCCTGAGATCAATCGATCAATCACAGAAATGTTACATGGTTATAAACAGACCTCCTTTGCGGTTTTAATTCTTTCTCAGATAAAAATCAGCAACTTTCGGCTTTGACATTTTTGTTTTTAAAGGTAAAAATCTAATCTGTTAATTGGGTCAAAAGGAGCCGATAAAACAAATCTGGTTTCATCTTCAAAAGGTAAATCGTGTAGTTCTCCTCCATCATTTGAAGCTAGTGGCTCGTTGGGTTGTATCAATAATCTGTTGGATGAGGACGTTTGTGTTGATGAAAATGATGTGGTGTCCCAGTGCATGCTGGGATATCCTCCATCCCGCCCAAAGACCCCGAACAGAATGATGAATTCTGGGGGGTTTGTCCTCATATTATGGACTCGTCCACATGCGTTACTGGCTGCACCTTCAGAGGATCAGGAGCGGATTACGGATTGAGGCCTTTAAAGGAGCAGCTTGTGGATCCCTGGTCTTTGAGCGCGGTACGTTCCCGGCTGCTAACTAGCTCAGCTAGCGCGTGTAGAGTACGTCGGCGCTGTGAGGGATTCATGGAAGACGGCGAGGGATTGTTTGCAAACTCGTTGCGTGCTGATTTCAGAGCCTGCTCTCCGCTCTGTGAAACTTCTGCTTGCAAACACGATGATTCTGTGTCAAAGGTTTTGTTTGAAGAACTGACTGAACCCTGAACGACGGCGGGTTTCACTGTCAACGACCTTTTCATTCTTTTCTCCACCCACACACACCGCTATTATTGATGCTTATCCCCTTTCCAAAGCATTTGTTGCCCCTTTCTCTGCTCCTACCATCGTAGCTGTGAGCGAATCGCTCCAGAAACCCCCTCTGTTCTCCGACCTCTTTGTCTGATGGAATGCGACAAGAATCTGACATTTGTCCTCTGCTTTTCCTGTCCTCGGGGGCCTTTTTAAAAAAAAACTTTTTGTTCGGAAACATTAGCTCTGAGTTGCTGCTGAGGAAAAGGCCTGCCCTTGACAACATCTCGTCAAAATGATTCCATCTCCTCCGGTGGAGGAGCGTAGGAGCCGTGTAGCAGAACGCAGGAGCAGCGTCACGTTTCACGGCGCCGTCAGCGCTCATTGGATTTTCCTCCAACGCAGACTGTCTGTGTTGCTCATCCCCAAGTGACCGGATCAGACGGGCGTGTGTGTGCGTGCGTGTGCGTGTGCGTGCGTGTGTGTGTGTGTGTGTGTGTGTGTGTGTGTGTGTGTGTGTGTGTGTGTGTGTGTGTGTGTGTGTGTGTGTGTGTGTGTGTGTGCGTGTGGACACTGTAATCATCTGCAGCAAAGCTCATGTTGAGTGAAAGTGAGTGTTTTTCATCCAGAAGCACAAACGTTCTTCCTGTTTTATTCTGCCAACGGACACCGGCGTGCACAGCGTCTCCCCCCCCCCCACACACACACACACACACACACACACACGCCTGTGTGATTCAGTCATTTCATTTGATCATCAGCTGAACCTCTGGTGTATCGGAACCGCCTGCCTATCTTTGTCGGAGGCCGCAGGAAGTCGGCCTGCAGGTCACGCGCGGCTTCCTGTCTTGGCCGGGTATCTGTAGACGAGGAGGAGGAGGAGGAGGACGGGGAGGGCGGCGGCGGCGGCGCGGGGGGGAGTTGGTCTTATATGGCCCTGTGCAGCGCCGGCTTCGCCTCTCTGTTTCCATGGCGACGGCTCTCCTACAGCGCTCCGCCGTGGGACGGTCTGTGCATGTGAAAGCGGCTCCCAGCGGTGCTCGGGGTCCGCTCGCTCTTCTCCCTTCAGCTGCTCTCTTCTTCTTCTTCTTCTCTTACTGCAACAGCGCTTCATCTTCGCTCGGCTTTCTGAACCGCGACATCCAACATCATTTGCATGTGAATCGGAGGGGGCGAAGAATTCCCCCTTTGTACACTGGGCCGGACTCGGAACCAGCGACACACTCGAAATAATGAGGCCGACTGTCCTGTAAAGAATGCAAATGGCGAGTGAAGAGGGAGGAGCCGGGCGCTCTCCTCGCCCACGCTACACCAGCGAGTAGCGGCTCACACAGCGTGCACGTGTGAGTTGAGCAGGATGGAGTCCGAGTCCGGATGGAGCACTTTGCTTCTTGTCAGCGAAGATGAAACTTAATCAAAGTGGTCAAAGCAGAACAAGGTTTTCAGAACCAGAAACACACGTTTCACAGCTCTGAACTGATTTGTTTTTTTTCACAGTTCAAAGCGAACTCACTTCCTTTCCATCGCGGTTTCTTCCATTCGGCGTGGAGGCCGTGTGACCTAGATAGTAAAGTAGAAAGTAAGAAAGTACACTTTGCAAATGCAGCGCAAAGGCGCTGATGCACTTGGTCTCTGACGGACGGGCTTCGACAGATAGCTGCCAAACAGGAAGCAGCCATCACGCGCTCCTCGCCGAACCCGCGCCGCGTTTAGTTTGTTGCTCCGCTCGCTGGTTTGCCAAGAACAGGATAACAAAGTGGTTTGTTTTGGAGCGCGGTGGTGTGGGGACATCCGCCATCTAAAGGAACACAACTCCTGAGGTGAACTGCGTCCTCTCCGCCCACCAGCAGGGGGCGACTCCTCTGCTCCCATAGACGTCTATGAGGAAATGACTCTACTTCTCTGTAGTGACCAGCAGGGGGCGACTCCTCTGCTCCCATAGACGTCTATGAGGAAATGACTCTACTTCTCTGTAGTGACCAGCAGGGGGCGACTCCTCTGCTCCCATAGACGTCTATGAGGAAATGACTCTACTTCTCTGTAGTGACCAGCAGGGGGCGACTCCTCTGCTCCCATAGACGTCTATGAGGAAATGACTCTACTTC